TCAGCGAGTGTGTGCAGTGCTTTTAACTTGACAACAATGCAACACTATTGGGAAGGCTGTTCTCCAGTGCAATAGATCCAGTTTCCAGCAAGTCTATAATGGCACCAATGTTTCTCAAGAGTGTGGTGTCACCTTCATTTTTTACATCATTGTACTTTAGTGAGAAGGCTGAGCAGATTCTGTGAACAGGATGATGCAAAAAGATGATTTTTGTCTGTTTTTGTCATGAAGCAATAGGCGAGTAATGTACAGTGCAAACGTCACAAGTAAACTTGTTAGAAGTGCCAAACTTAAAAAAAAAAAAAAGGCATGGCATCTTTTTTATTCTTCTCTGCTTTAATGACCCACTCCTGTATTTGTAGTGTTTTCTTTAAGTGTAATGCATATTAAGACTATTGTACTAAATCATGAAAGAATCACATTAAACACTGGAGTTAAAAGCCCCACGTTTTATTGATGTAATACACACAAGAGTAATAACACCAAACACAGCCAAAGGTGAAATCATTCATTTATTCATAGATATTTGAGACTTCGATCAGCTTTTCTGACAGTCATGCAAAAATAAGTGCAAACTGATCTTAAGCACAAATTCAATAAAACTTTTCACTTATTTTTGTTTTAACTGTTTCAAAAGACATCAGGGTTGAAAAACAACTCCTTGATCAGTGAAGTAGCCTGAGAGCTTCTCTCACCTCTCACCACAGTCCAATTTGACATCCTCAGCACAGATTTTTGTCTTTTGTTGGGTTAAATGTGACAAACTAATTGTCTCTCTTCTTTCCTTTTGTGAATTGTTTTTCTTTTTTCATACTTTGCATTTTTGGGGGAGTCTCAGTATGTGGTTTATTTAGTTGGAGTATAGTTTAGTTAAGTTAGGTACAGGCAGTGAAGGTAGGAGTTTTGTTTGATTTCTTTGATTCAAAAGAGATCTCCTTTTAGTTGGATTGGAGATTGAGCTGCATAAAAAAGGAGAGGAGAATTGCTCCCAAGAGAGGAAGATGTGCCCTTCTGTAACCTCATTTGAGACTTATTTTATTTGATCTTGGGGAAAGTTTGTAGTTTTTAATGGAACCTATATATGTGGAACCAAAACTACTTTACAAAGACCCTGAAGAGCTTAACCAACAACAACCAGGAAGGACCCACAAGTTCATAAATAAAAACACACAAACAAACTGACTCTGTCTCTTTATTTTAATCAGATCCAGGTTGAGGTGAATTTTAATGTCCAGTGTCTACAAAGGACAGTTAAATAGGAAAAACCTGGAATTCAGCTGTGTGTCCACGTGGCTCACAGGGTAAGGACGCTGGCTGCCATTCTGGAGGTTGTGGGTTCAAGCCTTGCCTTAGCCAAGTTCTGGTCAATTTTAAAGTCTAGTGTCTACAAGGACACTCAAATAGGAGAAACCCGGAATTCACCTGTGTGTCCATGTGGCTCACAGGGTAAGGTTGCTGGCTCTCACTCTGGAGATTGTGGGTTCAAGCCTTGCCTAGTTCTGGTCAATTTTAAAGTCTACTTTCCATGAAGGACAGTCAAATAGGAGAAAACCAGAAAACTCCTGCAGGTCCACATAGCTCAGTGGATAAGGTGACTGACTGGGACTCCGGAGGTTGCAGGTTCAAACCTTGTCGTGAACCAATTTTAAAAGTCCAAGAGCCAAAGTTCCAAAATAAAAGGGCGCAAAGCTCATCCCCAAGTGCGGACGGTATCCGGTGGCGCTGGGGGTATGCAACTGACACCCAAATACCAAATGCTGGTCAGGCGGGCAGCCCTAGTTCGATACCCACTCGACACGCAGGAGATCCTGAAGCAAATCCTGGGGAACCAGGCCCGGGGGGTGGGGTTTCCCCCCGGTGTTTCCGGAGAGGTAAATCAGGGGGGTTATCAAGCAGGAAGTCAGAGGTGGCTGAAATTTTGAAGAAAGAAAGACAATTGAATGAAAAAGATGACAAAATAATAAGAAGAAGACAAGACAAAGAAAGTCATCTATAATACTATTATTTATAGATGTCTCTTTATAAGTCATCTATACTAGAGATGACTATAATAGTATATTATAGTCATATATAGATGACTATTATAGTCGTCATCACTATAATGACTATATTATTAGTCATCTATATAGATGACTAAAGTCTTTTTTATAATAAGTCATCTATAATAGAGATGACTTTTATAGTCATCTTTAAATAATAGTATTATAGATGACTACAATATAGTCATCTATATATAAATGACTATAGTTGTCTATATTATAAGACTAGTCAACTTTCTTATAATATAGACGACTCTAGTCGTAGTCTACTACTTCTATATTATAGTCATCTTTCTTCTGACTATAATAGTTATGATAGACTATTGCATTCTATATATATAATAAAGATGATATAGTCATTATGTCATCTAAACTTTTCTAGTTTTCTGTTGTCATCTACTTTACTTTCTTGCTTGCTTGCTTGCTTGGTTGGTTTCTTCAAAATCTCAGCCACTTCTGACTTCCTGCCTGATAACACCCTCATTTTACCTCTCTGGAAACACCGGGGGGAAACCTCCCCCCGGGCCTGGTTCCCCAGGATTTGCTTCAGGATCTCCTGCGTGTCGAGTGGGTATCGAACTAGGGCTGCCCGCTTGACACATTGCATTTGGGTGTCAGTTGCATACCCCCAGCGCCACCGGATACCGTCCGCACTTGGAGATGAGCGTTGTGCCCTTTTATGTTGGTACTTTGGCTGGTGGACTTTTAAAATTGGTCTGCGATAAGGTTTGAACCCGCAACCTCCGGAGTCCCAGTCAGTCTCCTTATCCACTGAGCTATGTGGACCTGCAGGAGTTTTCTGGTTTTCTCCTATTTGACTGTCCTTCGTAGACAGTAGACTTTAAAATTGACTAGAACTAGGCTAAGGCAAGGCTTGAACCCACAACCTCCAGGGTGCCAGTCAGCAACCTTACCCCGTGAGCCACATGGACACACAGGTGAATTTCGGGTTTCTCCTATTTGAGTGTCCTTGTAGACACTAGACTTTAAAATTGACCTGAACTTGGCTAAGGTAAGGCTTGAACACACAATCTCCAGAGTGCCAGCCAGCGTCCTTACCCTGTGAGCCACGTGGACACACAGGAGTATTGTGTTTGTGAAAGATTTCACTCTCCTCTGCAGACACTGGACTTTAAATTTCACCAGGATGTGGATAAGAGTTTGAACGTTCAACCTCAGAAGTCTAAATAAGTCTTTTACAATAACAAACATGTATTTATACATACATTTGTTCCTATAAACATATTCCTTCTTAGTGTCACATACAGACACATAAACTGGTTTATATATAAATGAGTATATGTATGAATTATAGTATGCATGAATGTTTGTGTATGAATGTACCATATGTTTAAATGTCTTAACTGTAATGATGTTACAAAACCTAAAAAGTAACCTAATAGACATTAAATGTGATGTGTGTGTACGTTGTTTATGTATATTATGTGTATGTTGTCAATGCATTGTTTTACTGTCTTAGTCATGTTGTTTGTACTTTAAACACTATTGCTTTTATGTTTAACATCAACCTGTCGACGGGACTGGGGATGGAAATTAGCCATTTGGCTATAATCCCACATATTTACATGTCTATCAATATGTACTGTTCCCATTTTTAAAAATAAATAAATACAAAAAAAATGTTCTTGGGTTGTTTAAATATCAGGTTTTGACCCATTAGCTGCAAAAAGAAAAGAATCAATCCTGGAGATAATGAGACATGCTCGGTTAGCATAAAAGCAAGAAAAGTTATGAACACCTGTTGCTGTTTGTTCGCAACTTTGGATCTGTGAACCTCAGATAGTAAATACAAACTTGAGTATGCCTCTTATTACAGTTCTCTCAAAATCAAACATTTTTCTGTTCCTAAATGTTCCACAAACAGTCTGTTCAGCTGCCAAGGTCGACGTGAATAACAGACTTCTTTTTTACTCTTTGGCGCTCAGAGTTACATCATTACAATGAACTGATGCAGCGTGAGGCTACAGGAATTGCTCCAGCTTTAGAAAATAGTAAAAGAAACGCTGCTTGTATTGCATCATCTCAGACTCCCGGTGACATAACATCACCTTCCTCTACAATCATCTTTTGTGGTGAATGAGAGGCTGCTTTAAAATCATTGTGGCTCGACACATACTTAAGTAAATAAAAGATTACAAGTCATATTTTGAGTGCTCACCTCCTTAGATCTCCTCTTTTCGGTCAGCCTTATCTACCTTTCACTGTTCCTAAGGACACAGTGTTTTAATCAAATCTGATTAAACTGCTGCAGTCCAGATAAATTATATTGATCTTTCAATTTTAAACCTAATGAGACAAAGATTGTATTCATCCTGGTTGTACTTATCATTGAAGGAGGCGGTCGGGGGAAGAGTCTGTTATTTAAATCTTATTTATTATGGACAAAATATCCTTTGATCATGTTTCAAGGTAAGATGGAAATTAATTCTCAGTGTACCGTCTTATCCAGAAATAATGGGTTCTTAATGATTTGATTTTTGAGGACTTGCTCTCATTATTCTTCTCTCAGCAGAGATGCACAATAAGCCTCAAAACAGAATATTCTAATAATGTTTGGAGTGTCTACCAGGGTTCGCATTTTGACCATTAATAGAACTGCTAAAGCAAAACACCTCAGACTTGTGAGTTGGTTCTCGCACAAAAGTAGAATCTGATCATCTTTTTTAGGAAAAGAAAGTGTGGTGTAAAAGTAGACAAGATATGGAAGAAATAAATGCTTGAGATACTTGTTAGGAACTTTTGGTTTGTGTCATTTCTGGTACCCCCTGTAGACAAAGCAGTTCACTGATCTTATCCTCTTTGTGCTTGAGTCGTTATGTATGACACCAAATCTCATCTTGCTGACTTCTAAAAGTCCGCTGTATTATTCAGAGTGAATATTTTATGTAGAAATGATGAAACTGGACTGTTCCTGAAGGAACATTAAAGACAATCAAGATATTTTTTTTCTTTTTGTTTTAATAAAGTCCATTTTCTTGATTGTTTGTAAAATAGCAATGAAAAACTTTTTTTTTTAGATTCAGTTATTTACATATAAACAAGTAGGTGTGCAAAATTTACAAGAAATTGGCAAGAAAGCATCACATCTGTCTAATTTTTCACACATATATCTGCAGTATATGTTTATCTATGAAAAACAAGGCAAACATGTCTGATTCGAATTTAAATGTACAGATAGCAAACCTCAGTATGTACAGTAATAAAATTTGCAGGTAAACATTCTTTATTCAAATGACAAAAAAAGGTATAAAGATCAAAAAAAAGTATGTGCAGTAGAAATATAAAAGGATATAAAGTGGGTATGTTTATCTGATTGACTTGTTTCTTTAGAAAATAAAAAGTGCTCTTCCTCGCCCTGCATTTCACAACCCAGACATGAACCCCATCTTTCACGAATATAAAAATCTGGACACACAACTTCTAAACAAAGGTTGATTCACTTGCATGACTTGAACACAAACTTGTGGTATTTGTTGCTCCATATCGTTTTGGTTTTTTTTCATTCAAATAAAAGATGAACTCCAGACCCTGGAACTTCACATTACTAACAACCGTTTTAGATTAAAATCATTTTAGTTCAGATTCCTTCTGAGTGAGCAGAACTTTTTCTGCCTGTTATCTTTTTAAATTATACAAACAAACTAAAAATAATCAAATATGTCAAAATTTACCGATGAAAGGCAGGTAAAGACGAACTAATGTTGCTTTTTCTTATTATAAAAAAGCACAAAACCACATCGACATGACTTTTCGTGGTGTACAAAGTTACACCAGTCTTCTCATTAAAGCAAACAATATGATTCCAACATACGCAATCTGAAGAGTCTTATAATCACAAATGGAGGGCAAAATCAACGACTGTTTGAAGGTTGTTCACCTTTTTCGATGGTCCATTGAGGCATCACTCTACCGGCGAGTTACACTTAGAGAACTGATTGATAGGAATGTGAAGTATCTGCAGTTTTCATGGTCAATGTGCTACACTCTGAGTGAAAAGTGGATTCATTCTTTCAGAGGCTTAACCAGCAAGAGTTCAAATACCAACATCTGTGATTAAATCATGCACAACACATGACAGACAGACAACAATCATTTTTGTTTCCTGACAAAGAAAGAAAGAAAGCACACGACAAAACAGAAATAGCACATATCCTCCAGATCTGAACAGACTTGTAGGATTGATGCTGTTACTGAAAATGATCAGTCATTCTAATCCATATGGCTTAATTTGGTAAGAAGGCAACTCAGCAGATGACAAGACTTTTAAGATAAGTCTCTGTAAAAGAAAATCCACAGGCATAAAACTAAACTTTCAATAAATTAAACTCTCTGGTTCGGAGGTAAACAGAAAGTTTTAAGTTAAATCGGTCAGTGCAGTTGGTGTGAAATCAGGCCGTTTACGAAACCTCCTCACTGAGATTTGCTGCTACACAGTCATCGGTGAAACAACCGTTATAAGGGTTTCAGGTCTGGATTGCTGTTTTCAGTTAAAGATAGGTTTGCTTGAGTTAAGCAAGAGACAGAGCATGATTAAAGTGAGGGTGCGACCAGTCTCCAAAGGTCAAGTGTGGCTGAGAGGCATACTGAAATTAAGGCTGAGCTCCAATTTGTTCTCCGTTTCTGCACCAAAAAAGAAAGACAAAAGGCCTGTGCTTAAGAGAGTTTTAAACCTGACTTCTCCTCAATGCTGTGGGTGAATCTGTTCCCACATTTCGGCGAGCAGTGGGCGACCACAGAAGATACCTGCACCACGTGTCTTAGCCAGTCAACTCTTCTTCCTCAATGCCACAGAGGAAGGCGAGTCAATTCCACCATGTGCTATTTGAGGAAACCTTTATAGAGCAGGTGTGAGTGACTGGCACCTCGTTCGTTCTCCAAGCAGAAGAGAAGGTCTCTGAGGTTAACTCTGGTGATTCTCTGTCGTGTAAACTGTCTGGACCCTGATCCACTGGATGCTCCAGGTTGGGAGGGGCCTGATCCTGATCCCTGTTTTGTAAGACAGAGTACAAGAAAGATGTAACAAAGTCTTTCCAAATTTGAAATATCCCATATTCCTCACCTCTGCACTGGAACCCCCGACAGGAGAGTCCATTTTCCGCTTTTTCCTTGGACCAATTGCTGCCAGCGCCGTCAGGTTGGCTTCTCTCTGTCTTATCTGAGCCAGCTCCTGCTGCTGCATCTGGAATACAAGCATTAGCACACAGATTAGTCTCACATAATCATAATGCTACACAGAGTAGAGTCACTTATCCCTGCATGCACGTACTTCTTTGGCTTTCTGCTTGAGTCTGAGCTGCTCGGGGTCTTCTTGCCGTGACCGAGACTGCGGGTAAAGTAGAGGACATTTTAATATTTCAGGATGGGTATGTTCAATATATTCAATCAGTTGTTTTATTCATTCACTCACTCAGTTAGCAGATCTGTCCTCTGGTGACAGCAGCAGAGGAAATGTATACTAATGACTCCGACCTTACTTGCCTTGTCTATGCAATTAAGATAGTGTGTAGGATTCTTCCTGCCAATGATAAAGGATGTCCTTGTGAGAAAATGATACCTTGGCAGCCTTCAAGAGAATCTCCCTCTCCTGCTCTTCCTTCTTTTGCTTCTCCATCTGATCCAGCTGCTCAAAGAATTTAAGCTGTGTGCGGACATCACTGGCCGGCTCGTACCGCTCGTCCTCCTGAAGGATGAATGAAGATGTTGCATTAAAAAAAAAACAGAAAGGTAGAAGAGAGGGGAAGAAATCTGTCTCAGTGGATCTCTACAGCGCTGTAGCAATAATCACCTTGAAGGTGATGTTCTTCTGCTGTGCTACTAGTGACACCTTTTCCAGCAGGTTTTGTAGCCGCTGCTGCGTAGCGTAGGAAATGTAGTTTACTACATCTGCGCCCAGCTCACTGATACCAAACTTTTTACCTGTAACAACAGCATAAAAAAAGAAAAGAACATTTCAACAGAGTCAGACAGTGTCGTACCTTCAAGGCAAAAAAGTTGCCCCACTTACCAATCTCAAGAGTTCTTTGGGTGAGCAGAGAGGTGGAGAGGAAGCTCTCATCCTTACAGGAGCGCTTCACCACACCTATAAGCTCAGAGTTGGTTGCTAAGATACGGGCACTTTCCTCTGACAAGTTGACTCCTGCCATGGAGGCCACATCGTTAATATCATCATCATCCCTGGGGGACATAAAAATAAGTGACAAGAAAGACATGAACGACAACATTAAGAACTGTTTAAAAATAGAGTTGGGAACTGTGATTACACTTGTTTTTGGTTCACAATTGTTTTATTTGACTGTAGTCTCAGTGGTCCCTTGTTGCAGGGGAAATGCACAAAGAGCTAAATATATATATCAATCATTGGGATAATTCATCATGGAAACCAAACTGAATCTGACCAAACAACAGCATTTATAAAACCAACAGTGAGATTCATAAATCTTAGCATCACCAAGGCTGGTGAGAGTGCGGCATCTCAATGATGGTCTGTTGCTGCCCCCTTGTGGTGATATATAAAAACAAACAGTAGCACAGACTGTACTCATTGAGACAGAGATGAAACCTTTTTACAAGTAAGACAAAAAAAAGGTTAAATTTTAAAAGGAGAAAAATAATTAAAACCATTACCCTAGTCTCCTCTAAAACAACAGTCCTGTTGTTAATTTGAACTCTTATCTTTGTGCTTTTCTTTATTTTTGTAAAAGCAGGAAACATTTACTGTTTGCACTGTTAAAAAGGTTAAACGCCATAATAAAGTATCAACAACTTTTCTGATGCTCAATAATTAATTTAACTGTGTGAACCAACAAATAATGGAAGAACACAAAAGTGGCTTGTAATAAATAGAAACCAGGTTAAAGTGAAATTTCAAACTTTTAAGTCATCTACAGTTATCGTACAAAATGATTTTCATCTGACACAAACATGCTTTAGTGGTTAGAACTAAAGAAAAGGATATTTTTAATATACTAAATGATGGGTTTGAAAAATGACACATACAGAAGCAGGTTATCCATTTTTTTCAGTTTTAGTATCTTGTTGTCTTTAATGGTTGAAAACTTTTATTCAAATTCAGTGAATCTGTTCCTGCAGTTGCTTGAACAACAACACTTTTTTGCAGTATTTTCTTTAAGAGTTTTGTGCCTGAAAGAAAAATGTCTGACTAGAAAGACTGTTTTTTACTGCTGCACATCCTCTATTATGACAAAATTGGTTTGTCTACATCAAAATCGTCCTATTTTCTCTGTCGAAGCAATGCTGGAAGCTGAGATGTTCGGTTAAACAACAATTTTAAAAAGATATATATTTTCGTGAGCAGCAAATTTCAGCATCTTCACTTGAAAAAATACAAAAATAACAGGTTATTTTTCGAGAGCTTTTCTCTGGATATTTACTAATCATTCAATGAAGTAATTCTTCCAGCTGTGAACACATCGGCAATAAACAAATGTAGTAAACATGTCATTTTTTCACCTGAGATAGATCTGATATTAAATCTTCTCAAATATAATCACTTGTTGTGAAGCGTGATGAGGACACGATGATTGGATGACAGATTTTAGTCTGTCCTCCATGTTTGCTATTTGGAAAACTTTAACTAGAGAGTGACGTTAATTTGTGAATGTGTCACACACCTAAATGTTCCTCCCCCAGCTTCCGTCAGCTTGTTCTTCTGAGCAGAGAGCGTGGACTGATTCACTATCTGCACGCCACGGACCCCTGGAGCCAACGCTGGCTTCACTCCTGGACCAAACGGGAACAAAGGAAAGAGGAAAACTTTAACGTTTGCAACAGGGAAGGTTAATTTCAATTTGTGTTATAATTGCGAGTGGTTAAAAACATGTACCGTATTTTCCTGACTATAGAGCGCACCTCAATATAAGCCGCACCCACAAAGTTTAAAAAAAAAATTGTAAATGTACTTATATAAGCCGCACCGGACTAAAAGCCGCGGTTATCTACTGAACTGAATACTTAGTTTAACTGAACATAACTGAACTGATCAGTTTCCGAACGGTGCCCAAAGCATAAAAGTGCTTATCAAATAAAACAGAAAAGTTATTGATCGCTTTATTCATCGTCCTCCTGCGCACTGAAACTATCTAAGTCCCCTTCTTCAGTGTCGGAGTTGAACAGCCTCAGGAGAGCTTCGTCACATGCCTTTTCTGTGGCGATGTCAGTGTTGCTCTCCGTGTTGCTCTCCGTGTCTGTCATCATCCCGGGGTGAAGCTGACTCTGAAGCTGAAGTGTCCTCTTCACGCAACAGTCCAGCCTTTCGGAACCCATTGGTGATGGTAGATTCCTTCACGCTGCTCCACGCAGCTAGGATCCACTGACAGACATCAGAAAATGATGCTTTTCGCATGCGGCCAGTGTTTGTGTCGGATTTATCGCCACTCGTCATCCAAGTCTCCCATTCACAGTGGAGTGCTGCTTTAAACGCTCGATTTTGCTTGCATGTGCTAAATGAAATTTAGCACTTTCTTCTTTTATGTTAAAATTTGACTTTCACCTGTCTCATTTTTTCACTTTATACTAAAGCGCCCCCCTGGCGGGTGAAGAAAAATCCACAGAAAAGCCGCACCACATTATAAGCCGCATAGTTCGAAGTGTGGGAAAAAAGTAGCGGCTTATAGTCAGGAAAATACGGTACTTGTGATGTGATTCTAATTTGTTTGACAAGCAGTTACAGACCATATCCACAAGATGCCAGCACAGGCTTCTTTTTCTTTTTCAGTGACTTTCTATATTTCAAATAAACCTGTTTTTATCTAGACACCCAATGACGCTCTATGATTCACTAAATATAGACGAGTGACCAAAAACAAGGAGAGTATTGGGCAGATTTTTTTAATCTTATTTACTGTCAACTATTTATTTGTTGTCATAGCTATTCATTTTGATGATACCTCTTGTGTGTCCTGTCATATCTGTTGCTGCTGTGACAATATGAATTTCCCCTTTGGGCGATCAATAAAGTTTTATACTATTCGATTATAGCGGAAGACATCCTAGAAGTCCGAGTGGATGTTAAATACACACCTGCGTGGAGCTGTTTGACCACCTGTGGCTGGCTCACAATGATCCGGTTGTGAGGTTGTCCTCTGAGCGTCACCATGGGAGACTGGGCCAGGGTTACCTGAGGCCTCAACACGGTCCCCTGTTGCTGGGGGACTATCTGCACATTCAAGCAAACAATAAAGACACATGAGCGAATAAAAGCCCTGAAAAATACACTCTCACAAAGTGACTGAGTATTGACCGAATTCATAAAGTCATCCATCATGTCACTTACCAGGCCGGGTTTACTGTGAGGAGTCTGAGTGAGGCTGATGACTGTGGTTTTGGTTGCAGCGGTGCTGGTGGTCGTAGTGGTAGCTGTGGAGAGAGGAGGCCTCAGCACCACAGCAGTAAGGGCGGTGGAGGCTGCTGCTGCTGGTTGAGTGCTGGGCTGAGGCAGCAGGCTCTGCTGGATGAACGCCTCAGAGTCTGGGGTCATCTGACGCAGTGCTGGGAGGCTTCTCTGCAGGGAGTCAAGGACAGGAAGAGTTATATGTATCACTATGAGAAACCAAACTGAAAAACTCAACCTGCTCCACAGATTTTTGATCTTGTAATAAAGTCAGATTTTTATTCTGCTTTTCTAATTAAAACAATGTGAAGACTTTGAGATTACAGCCCCTTTGATGGTCAAATTATTGACAAAGAAGAGTACTCTGTAAGGTTTGGCTGCCATTAATTTGATAAGTCACAAACATGGTGACTTTCCAACTTGGAATAGAGACACGATCATGAGTAATGATTCCACCCTCTTTCACAAATATGCTCATGGCTTCACACTCAAAAGAAAAGCCAACTTTCTGAGGCTTCAACAGGAGACTCTCCAAACCAATGATGACGTCAAAGTGGCCACCTCCACTTCTGTTTTACAGTTTATCATGCAAAGTGTTTGCTTTAACTGTTTCACTGGGAAAACTCTGAGAAGGGTGGCACTGCATTGGTTGCATAACCAGAGTGTTTGGATGACAGAGGACAGTGTGGATTGACAGGATTCTTTGGATGGTTGTTTAACGGTGGAAATATTACCACCTCTGGGCATATTAATTCTGTGTGGTTTGCATGAAAGGAGCAGGGTCTTTTTGACTTACTTTGAGGAAAGGCACAAGGTACGGCTGTGGTGAGGAGTTGAGTTCTTTGTATAACCTACTGGTGAAATCTTCAGGTTCTATCTTGGCTTCCTGTTGAGCAGAGAGATGGATAAGAACTAAAAAAGCGAATAAACCAACTGCAAGAAAGATGCAAAAGCTATAAAGACAAGAGAGAAAGACGAAGAAGTTAGACGTTCACCAGCAGGCTCTTGACCAGCTCCTTGACATTTGCTGTCGTCTCCGACGACTGTTTCCCACTGGATGCCAGTTTAATCAACGTGGACAGAAAGTTTCGACACTTTTTTACATTCTCCAGCGTCTCCTGCAACACATACACACAATCAGATTCCTCTGTAAACATACCCATCAGATTCAAAGCAGCTACACAACAACTTTGTAGTGAGCTTCAAAGGGTTTTAAAGACAAAAGCATTGAAGGTTAGTACTTCTCTCTTACAGCTGTGATAGCTGTTGGAGTGACAGGGGTCCCAGTGGCTGTGAGCGACCCTACCCTCTGTGTAACTGCTGTGGCTGCAGATCCAGGCTGCACTGTGCTGGGTGTGCCTAGCGCCTGTCCTGGGGTGGTGGCGCTTCCTCCCAGCATGATGGTGTTCTATAAAAGACAGTGGATATGCAGTTATGACATTCGGCTCAGAAAAAATGACAAGGTCAGAGTAACAGATTTGACATGTCTGCTCCGGGGGCACAGTGGAGTCAGCTTCAGTCGGACCATCACAATTCCCCCCCAAGGATTATGTTGCCATGGAAGATGTTTGCTAACACAGAACATGCATTGATATATATTAAACATCAATGACTAAACTCTTGAAAACTTAATATTTTCCTAAAAAAACAAACTGGAGAAGAAAATATGTGAATGCAGGAAAATATAAAACCTCAAAAGAAAATGTTTCAGAAAAAATATTAACCTGCAAAAATGAGCTAGCAAACAGGAAACCTTTAGAGGATACCAATAAAAAAAAAATAAAGTTCTGACCTGGATAAAAAATAGTTCCTTTCATAGTATGGTTAAAGGCAAAAAAGGATTACAATGCAACCTGTGAACTAGGCCCTGGGCCTGTTTTTACCAAGCATTTCAGGCAAAGAAATAAGTCCTCACTGGTCCAAGAGAGACGCATTCAGCTGCACTTATAAAGCTTTTTATTCCTCTTATTAGCCTTAAGTAGCTGCAGAGCTGCTTTCACTGTTTGCCAATAATTAGACAATCATGTACATGTTGAAATCTGAAGGGGGCTCATTCAAACCGACAAGCTTCTTCAAACATGTTTGGGGGAACTTCTTGTAGCTTCTTGGATTTGTTTTTGAATGAATTGCTTTTTTGTGTCTATATTTTTGCAAATCAAGCCCATAAACAGAAATACAAGTTCCCTGATCAGAGTAATTGAGCAAAAATTTGTAGGATGCCTCTTGAGGGTAGAGCAACAGGACAGGTGCAGAGCCAGGTTATGCACTCTTCAGCTGGGTGACAAATCCACAAATAAACGAATAATTTTGCGAGGTATGCGCAAAATGTTTTAATATTGTTAAATTTATGAATATACCGTGGAGTTGTATTTGATGTTTATTTGTAACTGTTTTAAAAAACAGTTTCACGGTGCCGTAAGGATCATGAAGAGAAGAAATAAATAAAGACCTTACGCATCAGTCAATCTCACGCATCGTCATTCCAAGGGCTGTAACAGTGAAACTCGAAGCTACACCTGAAAATGCGTAGCTGAGGATTACATCGAAAAATCTATCTGCAATGTGTTAAAATCCCAGATCTCAGAAGTATTCTCTGTTGGTACAAATACAATGTCAACATTGGGTGGAGTTTGTTCCGTCAAGTCATCTGGAGATGGTTCCTTTTTTGCAGGATCTGTCCTCGAGAAAACCACTTACAAACTGTATTCAGTCTCTGGCAACTACAGACAGGAGCAACAATATTTTTTACTTTATCAACTCAAACTGAGGCACAAAGATAGACCAAAAACCTGCGATAAATCAGGCGATAAAGGAGGTATCAAATCGACCAAGTTTTAAATAAGATGTGATGTTGTTTTTAGTTCAAATGGTCGACTCATACCTCAGCGTGGATGTCTTGTCTTGAAAGGGGAGATAAATTATTAGCCGCAGTAAAAGGGAAACTGTTTTACACCCTGTGAAATTTTCTTTTTACGTTTGGGGAAAAAAATCATCCCAGATGGGTTGCTCTCTCTTAAAGTATACGCTGCAGCCTGCAACCAATAAATAACCGGATTTATTCAGAGCACATGGTTTGCTTCAGTGTAGTCCACTAGAGTCAGCAAAATGCAGACTCCAGAGCTGAATCATTTCAATTAATGACCTTTCTTGCGGTAATGATCCTCATAGAATAAACTATCACCTTTTGAAGGCTTTTTCTTTGCTTGATGACACCATAACCTGCACAGTAACAAACCGAGGTGCATGTCTGAGTTACCTGCAGTACAGGAGGCCTCTGCAGAGTGGTGGTGGCTGTCACAGTGGTTTGGGCAGGTGATCCTTGCTTGATAATGGTGGTGGGGGTAACTGGACGAGGCAGCATTGATGCACCTGGAGCCTGCAGAACAGCATACACTATGATTTTACTTTTGGTAGTCCTGCATTTAATTTCACTTGCTCTAAAATTCACAAAAGCTTAATAAAATGACATTTACAATCCAAACCAGAGAAAAGGGAGTTTTGACAGTTACTCCCTCTTCACTTATGTGTTGCCAGAATTTGAATTTACAGTCACAACAGCAACAGAGCTGAACACAAAACAGATTTAAAAAGCTCAAATCACATCAGGCAAGTGTCTCAATTCAATGAAGTTATTATAAAACCAAAGGCTGGTCCTACAGTCATTTTTGTGCATCACAACCTAGCAGGACTGAGTCATATTTTCTGAGAGTGACTGTACTCTGTGTGTCCAACACCTGAGGTACCTGCAGAGAAGTAATCTGGACAGGTGGAGTGCTGGTGGGGGCTGCCGGTCGTGGTGTCATGGCACTTTGGGACTGTGACTGCGCCTGCATTTGAGCCAAAGCTTGCTGGTGAATCACTAGCAGTTGCCCGCTCTCACTGCGGACCAGGACCATACCTACGAGAGGAGGGAGTTCATGAGGTTAAAAATGTCAAAGGTCAGGACTTTTTCATGGAGTTCCATCAGTATACTGCACATATGCTGAGAGTTTGACATGAGTAGGTATGGTTAAGTTGATGCATGGATCTAGTTCAGCTGGGTGGTGTATGTTCAGAGACTTGAGGAGACTCCAGACTCAGCAACAGGTTAAACCAAAACAAACATACATGGTGCAATAAATCAAAAATGTGACATTTTAGAAGACGTTAAAAGCAACCCCATAAAAACAGTGCAAGATTTGTTGTTGTCGATAATTCAGCCTGGTGTTACAGCATGCTTATTCTATACTCAACAGGTGACCAGATGGGAGAAAACTTATGGACCTTCACCACACAGTGATTAAGTCGACCACAACAAAGCAGTAGTAGTTATGAGAGTCAAGTCACAAAAGCAACATATTTTTAAGTGAGTTGTCCAAAAAGACTCACACAACACACATACTGTTTATAACCCTGCTTTTGGTAACTTATTTGAAGTTATGGCCCTTAACATAGGGCTAGTAAATATAGCTAAGTGGCATATGTCTGATAATATTGTATTTTGGCTCTTTTAATTGAAGCTAGAGATAAAATCCGGAGTCTAATACACAGGTGTCAAACTCAAGGCCCGGGGGCCAAATCTGGCATGTGGAATATTTATATCTGGCCCACAAGATCATATCATATTTGTATTATTATTGGCCCACCAGTGAAATCTGTAGATTTCCTCCGGTATAATAATGTAAACTTTAGCACTATTATTTAAAATGTCCTTAATAAACCATGAAAATCTGGGAAATTAAAGAGTAAGACAGGTTTGATAAAAAGTCAAGAATGTGCGGGAAACAATATTTGGTGTTTTGTTTCATGTTTTCAATTTTGCATTTCGAGATGACAAGTCAAACATGATTGGATTTTTCATTTCATGCTGTGGTTTTCTTTAACTCAGTATTTAGACTTGTGTCATTCTTATACTTTAGATTCCAATTTTAAATTTTAACTCATATTTTGACATTTTAAACCTGATTTCAACGTTCTCCTCATGTATTTGCTCTTTAAAAGCATTATTTTCTATTTTTAATATCATGCTCTGATCTTTTGAACTAATAAATAAAAATAGAATAAAAAATTAAAACTTCTCTATCTCAGATTGCCTTTAAACTTATCTTTTTATCTTTTATGAATTTCCAAATGATTTATAATCATTGCTATTTTTGTTACATATCTTTTGAAAAGGAGGTTGACAGTTTTGGTGAAATGTTGACCCTCTTTGGCCCTCAGGTTAGACCTAAATCCAGATTAAGGCCCTTGCTGTGGTTGAGTTTGACACCCCTGGTCTAACATCTTGTTGTTTGAGTAGCCCCAGGACTTTTGGTCTGGTCTCCAAATTAAAACCATAAATTGTCTCTTGAAGCAGCTTAAACTTTGAGTCATGAGGAGTCTAAAGTGTAACAAGCACAGAGAAGCTCCTCATCCATAAACTTTGCACGGAATTACCTGGTGGGAGCTGAATGTTTTGGATGTTTGGGGCGTTTTGTTGAGGCTGAGTGGGTCGTGGGGCCAACACCTGTGGAGCAATAGCTCGTATTCCTGCAAGAGGAGTTGCAGCGATGGTAGACGGCACAGAGGTCCTTAAGTTCTGCAGAACAGTGGGGCTCCTTATGGTGGCTGTTGTTGCAGTCGAAACCACTGTGTGTCCTGTAGCCTGAAAAATGCTTTTTGTGGAGTCCAGTTTTTTGACAATAGAGCCCGTCGAGGGGTTAACACTGACGACCGGTGATGTTAAAACTGTGGTCGGGTTCCCTCCGCTTTGTACGGTGCTGGTTGGAGTTTGCATAGGCGGCCTTACAAGCGTGACAGTGGGTACAGCGTTCACGGGGGGCTGAGAGGAGATGACAGCAGTCTGTGGACTCGTAGAAGAAGTTCGGATGATAGTTTTAGGTGCTGCTGACGGAACCGCCGGGGTCCCTTTGCTCACAGAAACGGGTCCGTTGTTTGTGAGCGTGACAGCGGACTGAGAGCTACTCCCGCTGCCGTCAGCAGACGCTCCTCCGGGGGTATGACAGGTCATCACCACGGCGCTTCCATTTAAAGTTTGCAGAGCACTCACTCCTGGTTTTCCGATCACAGACACCGCATCGGATACTGCCGGTGCGATCCCGCTGCTTGTTCCCGTCATGGGTTGACTCTGAGCGGCTGTCAAGTTCGGTGTGGACCCGGCTACTCCATCCATGCTCGAAGCGCTGTTAGTGACACCTCCCTGACCTCCTGCTCCTTCCGCAGCGGAAACACATGAAAACAAGGGGGGTGTCTAACAACTCTCCGCTTCACATCAGTTTCGGGACACATACAAGTGCCGCCAAGTTAGCTAATATCAACGTGACCAAAATGAGCTAATGTTAGCTAGTGAAAGTCCCATTTTGCTGCCGTGAGCGTTTGTATTAACGTTACTTCACACAGCCAAGCTACAGAGGAGATTTGCTGCAGTCTGACAGCTCCGTTGAGGCGACCTGCTCCTGACAGCTAACACTCCAGAGAGCCTTCAGTGTCTCCAACTACTTTTTCGTCCGCCGCTGTCTTCAGCAAAACATCTCCCAGCAAATCGGAGCTCTCCGCCATCTTTGGCCAGATACGCTCTCTCGTGAGACGCATGCGCCGATTGGATGTACTGCCAGTGACGTCGTTCTACCAAGCGCCGTGATTGGTCAGTCGAGGTAAATAAATTTGGGAACAAATAGTTCAGAGCTGCAGTGTCTGCTGTCAGTGCTGCCCAGCAGGCATACGAAGATACGAGAATGAAGCCCACACAGCAACATCTGATGGGAGTTGTACTGAACGAGCGTCTCTTTAACGTGTGTTAGAAATATATTGGTTTTCCATGAACATTTTACGACAATAAAACATTTGCATTTAACTCAAAATGGACGCAAAGTTTCACGTTTTTGTGTGTTTGTTTCTTTTTACAAAAAAGTCACAAAGTGCCTGTTTCAAGTACTCATCAGGTACATAGACTTTGCCATGCATCAGACAATTCAACCCTCCCCAAATCATGCAAATCATGAAGGCCAGTAGAGACATGGCAGTTAATCAATCACAGGACGCCAGGTGTGTTCACGCCTCAATCAGTGGGCGTGGTTTCAAGTCTCCTACAAAATGCCGGTAAAATGTGGTCGCCCTGGGACTTGAGTGTTTGGACCTGATTTGAGTTCTTTTGACATTTAACCACATGTGATCCTGATTATTCTCCAAGCATGAGTTCAGGAAAGCCTTGCATTGGTTGCAAAATTGCGCTAATTTCAAAAGCCCAAAATCGTTATGAGGGTATTTTGTACACAATTGACAAAGTGAATTCAACAGTGGTCCTTGCTAAAGGTAAGCGGTGTGGATATATGCTTGACAGAGTGAGATTTCAACATTACTTTCTCTGATAGAACTTTTTTCTCCTAATTAGTCAGGTGTCTGGGAACTGAAGGAAGACCCACTGACAGGCCAACACCACCTAAAGATGATGTTTACGAGTTCATCACTTTTCGTGGAAGTGATATTAAAGATATAACTCTGTGTGAGTCTCCAAGATCTCACCATGGCCTTCCTCCAGATCCTGCAATAGTACAGGTAAGGAACGTATGCGGTTTACACCTTGCAGTTTGTGGCATTTAAGCCCATTTACCATTTCAAGAACTGTATCTGTGAAATTGTTGCACATCTTTTTGCTCAGTCATCTATTGTAGGGTCTTCTGGAGTTTATCATCCTCATGGCCCATTTAGCCCAAGGATGCAGGCTCACAATCAGCTTGCTGCTGGCCCTGTCCTCAGCCAGCAGTACGCTGCAGCTCTTGGCCTTGGTGAGCCACTGAATGCAGATTTATTCAAAGTCAACTGATCATTAATCCACTTGCTTATTGTTGTTAAGGACCCTCAAGTATGCTGTCAAAATGCTACAGCTATAGGTTGTGTTTTTCATGCCTGGTCTTTCAGGGTTGCAAGTTAGAAGGGGCCCTATGGTGGAAAAAGCTGTTCAAACCCTCCATGTGGATAGATCGAGACAGAGAAGACCCCTGACTGCATCTCAGGAGCAGGAGTGGCGATGGGAAAGGAGGAGGCCCCTAAGGACCAGACAAGAGAGTCCCCAGACCAGAGGAATCTCAGGAGCCACCAGTAAGTGGGCCTTCAAAGAACTGCAGTAATGAAAGCAAAGTAAAACCAGTCTTGCATCAAAATATTTACCAAATATTTAACAACTTGATTGTTTTATGTTCTCAAGATACTTACCTGGATTCAGTAAATGATAATCCATAATTGTAATTGCAAGTCTGAAACTTATTTCAAATTTGAGGGAGGTCCAGGCCTGGGTTGACCAGTGCTGAAACTCTGCAGCAGAATAATGAAAACAGGCTGCCTCCCAGAAGAAGACAAGGTAATTTTGCAACAGAAGTTTAATTTTGAAAAGTGAAAATCTGAATTTTCATGCTTGACTAGTGTCCATTATCCAATGTTCAAAAACTATGTAGGAGCCCGAAGGCGCAGGAACCGTAGCAGGGGTCAGATGATGGTGGCAAGTGGTCCGTCTGCTACTCTTAAGTTTGACACAGACTTTGATTTTGATTCCTCAAATGCTCAGTTTATGAAGGAGCAGCTACAAAAGGAGGCAGAGGACCGGATGAATTCAAAAGGTTGAGACCACAAATACACCTTTTTTTTATTTTTAATTTTCATCACCTGTTTTCTGACCCACGTTTATGCACCACACTGCTGGCTCAACACTTTTTTGTTGTTAATACATGCCCTTGAGGATAATTCACATTTGTGTTGGCAGAAGGAGATCATGAAGCAGAGGAGAAAGAAAAGGAGGAATTGCACTTGTCTGCGGATGATGAGCACTTTGGACCAAAATGCTATTATGACAAAGCAAAGTCTTTCTTTGACAACATCTCATCTGACAAGAAGTTCAGGTAAAAGTGGGACATCTCTAATCATCATGTATCATGTTTGTTGCAGCAGGCTTTTAGCCTCTCCTTTGTGTTTCAGACTGACATGGGCCGAGGAGCGAAAGCGTAATCTGGAAACTTTCGGTGTCCCAGGGCGGTTCTTGAGGGGCCAGGGCTTCAGAGGATACTCTGGACGAAGAAGACTAGAAACTCCTCAGTATTCGTCTTATAGAACCAGGAGTGGACAGCTGTGAAGATCAGATTTAGCCATGGCACTATAAGGAATTAGTCCTCAGCTTCATGCTTCTTGTGTATATTATCGTATTAATTAATCATTGCATTGTATAAAGCTAAGTTTACTTTTTTCCTCCTTATGGCTTACTATATGCGCCTGTGTTGACACTTTTCTTTGTCCTTATCATTCCACAGTTGTTTTGTTTAGCTCACAAGGGGGTCCACTATGACATATTTCCCCTCCAGTATGTTTTGAAAGTTATTTTTTTTTTCTTTACTTTAATAGGAAGTGAATATTTAAGTTTCTATTGTCTGCTATGTGGAATAGCTTTACTCCTAAATTATGTTGTTTCATGCCAGTAAGTAACCTATGGCTTTGCCTGATCGGGGGTCCTCCTAATAAGTTGTACATTTATTTCATGAAATGGTGTTGTGATGTATGAATACTGTCAACATAGAATGAACTAGATTTCAGAGTATTTAAAGAATAAAGGCTTGTATATTGCTTTACTCTGTAATAAAGCAACTTACTGTAAATAAACTGGAAATTGCTGATGTGCTTGTCTTGTGATCTCTGAGAATATTTGATTTAACAGGTTTATGCGAGCTTTAATCCTGGGGGTCTTCCACCTTAACATGACCCTATTCTTCAGTCTTATTTGGGTTTTATGAGCATTCAGGTTTGTTTTTTTCTGTGGGTTACAGGTGTTTTAATTCAATATACTACAAGTCTTGTCCAATATTAGAGGAAAAAACATCTTGAACAGGTCGGATAAGGGCTGAAAGGGGATGGCAGCTGCCAGGTGTATAGTGATATCGTGACAAAAGAGATTTCATTTCTTGGCATTCACATTGCTCCATCGGTCTACCTGAACAATAAGGTCTAATTGGCTCCCATGAATCAAAGGATACCCCGTCTTCAGTGAGGGAAAGTGGTAGGCTACTTACTGTCCGGGTCATACCAAAATTAAAGGATGGGGGGGTGGTTTACCTCTTCCGTGTGTATATTTATCTATCTGTTAGGTGCATGCAAGGCATACTGAACGTATCCAGATATGCTAATTTGTCAATTTTCCTTTAAGATTATATTCATTTTAATTTGTTTTTCAAATTCGCCAGCTTTAAGATAGAGAATTGACTCGATAATCCCCCTCATCTTTTTGTAATGGTCATACTATGAAGCCAAATAGACGGCTGCGCTCATGATAATAAATATTAGAATAAAAGAAGCGCCTTTATTTCCCATATGACAACATGTCGGTGGCGTTTTCATCGGCTCGCCCCAGGAGTAAAGGAGAGGTGACACAGCAAACCATTCAAAAGGTAAGAATGAATATTTGTTTCGGCGTTTGAGATCAGATATTCCAGTCTGGGTGGGAGTGTGCGGTCTGTCTCTAGTGCAGCATGAAAGTATAGCCTGTGGTGAATTTCACATGGTATGGCAACTAATTATTGTAACGATACAGTCGGTTGAAGGTGCGAGCCAAACAAAGCCGACCGTCCAAGGTGTAGCAGCAGAGGATACTGATTCCCACGCTGCTTTTCCTGATAACTAATGGATCTTTTGTATCTGGAATATACTGAACAGCCTCAGATTTTAGGACTTACCAAGAAATTCTAACACCTTGCACCTCCCTGTTTTTTTCTTTTTCTTTCTTTTTTTAAAGCTCACTTTCTTTGGTCCTAAAACGTGCAAAAACATGATTTATATTGTGTATGTAACATTAGACTTCCTGGACCATACGCTCCTCTAAATGCTGCTGCTTTTATCCTCAACTGAACCGGATGTTTCCGGTGAAAACACACCAAGACAGGCACTTTCAAACGGTGTCCTGAATAGCTGCTTTATTTGGCTCCTGTATGAAAAAAAAAGAGGAAAAGTGACCCAGTTAGAAATGTTTTTTATGCTGGATGAGGTTCTGAGAAACCAGGGCATCACTGCTGCAACTTGATAGCACATAATTCACTGTAAAATTCACCATACACTGTGACTCAAGGATGGATGCATTACTGAAGTTGTACTGTTGTTTCCCAAAGATGCTAGATGAAAACCATCATTTGATACAATGTATAATGGATTACCAAAGCAAAGGGAAGACAGCTGAATGCACACAGTAAGTGTCTCTTTTTCCATTATTCTAAATGATGCTATGTTAATGTGTTAGTCAGACAAAAGTGACTAAATGCATCTGTGTTATTTTCTCTTTTGACAGGTATCAGCAGATCCTGCACAGAAATCTTGTTTACTTGGCCACGATAGCAGATTCAAATCAGAACATGCAGTCATTACTACCTGCGGTGAGTCCTTTTGCATGTTTCAGGGACAAAAAAACTCAGGCTTCTCATTTGTATATCATCACAGGACACCTGTTCTAAGCAAATATGCATCACCAAATCTATTTTGATAAAAAAAAAAGTTTGTGGTGCCTCGAACTTTCTTTATATGGGACCAAAAACCCTCATCATCCACAGATAAATGTGCACACCAGGCAGAAATTGAAATATCTTATATATTGCTGGGCGATATGGGAAAAAGTTTATCATGAAATATTTTTTTCATGTCAGTCAATATCGATATATATTACGATATACAAAATGAAATTTAACAGTGCTTATTGGTTGCATGTCTTTTTCAATACAATAAGCTACTGCATCTGTGAGGTCTTTGTGTCTATTTGACGTTTTGTCGTGAAGCTTTGCGCTAGAGAAAGCGGACTGAATGGTTGGCTGTTTTGGCTGCACAGGCGCCATGGGCTCCTTGCTCCACTCAGGGTTTGTAACCTTTTGCATTGCGCGTACTCTGCTGGGTGGCACTGCTTCAGATGGTAAAAAAGATTTGAGGTGTTCCCCAACTTTGCGAGAACATGTACTCGACATAATTTGCAGTGCACATTACTCTGCTACATGTCCAACCTCAAAAAACCAAAATACATCCACGCACCCCCATCTGCGTTTCTCCCGGGATAGCGCTCATTTTCTTTTTGTCTCACCAACAGTGCTGTCGTCTTCACATGTCAAAGTGCTATGGTTGTGTGTAGCTGCAGTCTGCTACTACGCAGTTGTTTTTACTTGGTTCTAATTCAGCATGATTGGTTCAGTGCAAAGCCGACCCAGAGCAACTTCCCTTTTTATTGGCTATTTGTATAGTCTACCCAAACATAGCAGAATGCCGGTTATCGAAAAGCCTATTGACCATGTTTTATATTTATATTGAGGTAAAATAATTATCGATATATATCGTTATCATTTTAACTTCCAGCCATAATCTTACAAACATCATTATGCCTAATAAAGTTTGATTTTTATTCCAGCCGCCCACAGCTACTATGTCCATGGGTCCTGGAGGGATGAGTCAAAGTGGGGGACACACTCCAAGCAACCTCAATGACACCATGGCCCCAGGTCTGACCCCCACATCAATGTTGCAAAGCCAAATGAGCAACGGTGAGAAACCCTGGCCCACTTTGTCTGTAATTCCTGTATTTCCTGATCCTGATTGTCATGCATGTTTGTCTGCAAACCTGCAGTGAAATCATGTTTTGTATGATACAGCCTCTATTTTCTTTGTGGTCACACCGCCTGTGAGTACCTGTGGTCTTGATTTAAGCTAATGATCTGATAATCAGATTTCTTTGCAGTCACAGCTACTCCGGCTCTTTTTGCTGTTTTTTTTTTCCTGACTCATGTTGTTTACACCCATAAATCCTTTTACAACCATGCAAGCTTTCTGTCCAGATGAACTGAATGTGATAAACATGCACTACATGGCGACATGTGCTGCCTGCTCTGTATGTGCCATCAGGCTCCAGCCATGCCCACATGCAGCAGCAGCAACAGCAGCAGTCTGGTCAGGTGCAGTCGGCTGTTCCCTCAGCATCCCTCAGCAGCAGCTACAGTAGCCCGACCTCTGCCCCTGGCTACAGCCATGCTGCACCTCCATCCCAAAGCAGCATGATCCAGGCCCCTGGGCCTGGCTTTGGCCCGTGCCCCTCTTCTTCCTCTTCTTCTTCCACCCGCAGCAACCTCAACATGCAGTCTAACCAAGGTGAGCGAGGCAAAGGGAGCATCAGATGAAATCATATGAGTTTTATCCAATTTTGTAGAGAGCTGGCGGATTAATCACACCAATAATGCAAGTTTCAAAATTACAGTAAGTGGGTAATGGGAGGAATACTTTTTCAGGGATCAGGGTGAGGTAGAAACTTAACTGTAAAGAAGGTTGATAAGTTTTTAAGTACCTTTGAATGTGTCCAGGCCAAACACCTCCTCACTTTTCCTTAAAACACTTTCTCACATATTCTTTGTTTCTGCTCTTAAAACACTATTAATCTCCTCCAGGTCGAGTGCTAGAAACAAAACAAACAAACACATTCAGTTCATCAAAGTGGTCTCCTACCTCTTCCCCTTTCCCCTCCGCTTCAGGCCTTATTTCTCTTTGTCTTTGACCCTTGACCCTGGGATGCTGCCCTACCCTGGGATGCAGCCTTCCTCTCCCTGGATGCTCATGCATATTTACTATACTTCTGTCATGCACTGACCTCATCTTCTTTATTTGCCTTTATACTTAAGATTGTCACTATTAAAGCATCTCTCAGAGATTTTTCTATGATAGCGTCCTGACTGCTGTGAACCCATGTTGGCTTTATCCTTTGCCCTGACTGTTTTGGATTTCTCTCTGTATCTATTTTTGAAGTTATTTATGCAAATTCAGCTCTGAGAATACTTATCTGTTATGTGCCTGTCTATAATAATGTATAAGATCTCTCCTCTATAATCCAAACCCTCTCTCAGTCACCATGATGCACCAACAGTCTGCCACTCCGCACTATTCCTCAGCCCAGACAGGGGGACAACATTATCAGGGACAGCAGGCCATGGGTATGATGGGTCAGGGCAGTCAAGGGAACAGTATGATGTCTCAGAGACCCATGGGATCCTACCGCTCCTCACAGCAAGGTAGGTGGTGAGACTTTCTCATGCTTGGAAATGGCAAAAGGTTCAGAGGGTTTGTGCTGTCAAGTGAGTGCTAAAGTACAAACTAGATGGGTGTGTAAACAGATTGTCTGAAAGCTAGTCTCACTGTTTCCAGGATGGTGGATTTTTGCTGCATGCGTGGTACTAGATAGAACATAAAGAGGGAGTGATGTTGAAAGTCTGTAAAGTGATCTAGCTCAGTTGCCTTCCTGTGGCTGTAAGAAACAGTCTGAGGATGTCTTTCTTGTCACATTTTGATCCTGTCCCTGTAAATCACTTTTGCTGCGTTAGTGTGAGCCTAATAATAGCACCACCCGTGTCCTGTTATGCCTTTGAAGAGTGAAGACATTGCACATTGTAAATCAGATGTCTAAAAAAGAAAGGATACTGTTTCCAGGGCAACAGGCTATAGATGTAAGTCCTTGTTTCCCTGGTATACTGTTATCCCTTCATGATTAGGGGTTATTTATTTCCAGGTTAAAGCTCTGATGTGAGATTAGCGTGTCCAGATTTATCTTCATGATTGCTTTTAGGGATGTTGCAAAAGTTGGTTATCAAGTGTTGCTTCTTGGTCACATCCAAAATGACCAGATATGTCGCTGAGACTATGTTGCTATTGCCGCAGAAGGGAAGTGAACAGGCCTGCAACATTTCATCTCTGTTATTGAAAACGTTTGGGTCATTTGTGGTTTGTTAGAGATATTAAGTTATTTTGAGTATTTTTTATATATTTATATTTGTTCTGTTGTTTTTCGGCTCTGAGTTTGATCAAATTTATGGTTAAAGAAGTGAATGGAATCTGGAGTTTCTGCACACCAACACAAAGGAGAGATAGGATTCCCTTGGATAAATGTTTTTTAAGTAATTCTGTTTTTCCAACTATAAACTAAGTTACTCTGATTTCTTTTTTCTAGTTTTTACAGAAACTGCTCCACTTAAACCAATTTTTGTGTTTTCCTGATATAGTTTTCTCGATATTATACTTTTAATCAGTTTAAAACCATCAGGGGAACTTTTGTTCTACTCTAATATAATTTCAAACCAATTGTGATTGTCCCCTTTTGCTCATATCTACAGATCTCTAAATGATACCCTCTAAGAAAGTGCTCAATAATAACATCTCTTGCTACCTTTAATATTTCATTTCACTGATCTTATTGTAACTCACATGTGCTTGGACTCCTTCTCTCAGTTTGCCTAAATTTCCCTACATTCCTGGCCCAGCCCTTTAAGTCTCCCACTCATCGTCCAATTGGTCCAGCCAAGTGATTAACCAATCGTGGTCTCACCTGTCTTGCAGGATCTGCACAGCAGTACATGGGACAAGACGAGTTCTACGGAGAGCAGTATGGACACACTCAGAGCTCCAGCGAGCCCATTAACCAGCAATATTACCCTGATGGTAATCATGCACATCCATAAACTTCATACACACAGCTCTCAAACGATCAACCTCCCCATTATAGGCCATTACAATTCCTTTCAACACTATGTCCCATAGGCCTGAGCCACATTATAACAACACTGAAGCTCCAGCTCTTCTTCCTAGTCATTGTTTTGCCCTCATTGTGGGAGATGAGAACTGAAACAAATCAAAAAGGGCTGCTATTGGTCTCAATTCTGTTTCCTCCCAGTGTGTCTGTGTCCATACTGTCCCCTTTGGTGTGCGGAAATTTCAGATTTCAGAGCGTGCTGTAGCGCTGTGATGAGAGTGCAAATTTCTTCCAGGGTGTTTCTTGTGCTGCGTGCACAGTAAAGATGTTCGAAGCCTTAAAAGTGTTATTTATGCCTGTGATTCTGTCATTACATTTTTAAGCTTCAAATTCTGAATATGTTCTCTTCTGCAAGCGAGTTTTTTACTTGTGCAGGGGAGTTTTTGCATGTGTTGAATTGATTTCTGCACAGGTCACGGGGAGTACTCATATCAACAGTCATCATACGGTGAGCAAGGCTATGAGAGGTCCTTTGATGACTCGTCACAGCATTACTACGAAGGAGGTAGCTGCTTTTATTGCATTGTTTTTGTATATTTGTCAGCGCACTAAAGCACCACTTTGTTCTGTAAATGATGATGATAATGTGTATGTTTGTACACCCCCAGGTAACTCTCAGTACAGCCAGCAGCAGGCTCAGTACCAGCAGGGCTCTGGCCAACAGCAGCCCTTCAGCCAGCAGCAGTACTCGTCTCAACAAGGCTACAGTGGGCAGCCACAGGGATACGGTCAGAGCAGCACAGTCAGACAGTGTTGTGCAGCCATATTTACGCAAACGCAAAACACATGAACAAACAAATTGAAAGTTTTCTCTCTATGGTGCAGGTCCTGGACAAGGTGGATCCTCCCAGTATCCTCAGTATCAGCAGAGTCAAAGCCAACAGTTTGGATCCTACCGCTCCTCCCAGGGAGGCCCTGGACCACAGGCACAGAGGCCCTATGCTTATGAACAGGTACAGAGTAAATCATACATCTCACTTTTTTTAAAAACTCTTTGAAGCTGGTCTTTAAAATACTTATAGCCAAGTTTTCCTGACCAAATGTTTCTGTAGGTTATAAAAAAAAATAAAAAAAACTATAAGAAATAATATGTATAAACTTTCTTAAAGCTCCTGTGAGAATTTCAGAGTTAATGAAATACACTGAAATTCATCCTGATGCCTTTTATGATATATTAAAGCAAACAAGACCGTTAACAATAAGATTGACAACTTTGATATTGAAATTTTTGATGCCTCAAATCAGTGTAAGGGGGCAGGTGTCAGTGGAGCAGCTAAAGAAACAGTCCTGTGTTTACAATGTCCGCATGAAACATCCACAATATATGAAAAACTGTCAAAATCAGTTGGATAATTTATGTACTACTCAAGAATGAAACATAACATATTTTCTCTCTGTGTTGACACTTGTGCATTGTAGGGTCAGTACGGGAATTATCAGCAATAAGACACTGCAGCGTTTTCCATCCGGAGGAAGTAAAGGAGACATTTTAACAGTGACTGACTCTGCTGTTGAGAAGATCTGGAGGCGTTATATACATTAACCTTTCATAAACAATCATTCAGGCTGAGAACAGATCATCTACTCATATACGATGCCTTTTTTTTTTAAATGTTTTGCTCTTTACCAGGTTGTTTCTATGAGCTGGAGACGTGTAGCACTCTTGATGACTGTAAATTCAAGCTGCTTGAATGAAGCAGTGCAGTCTGATCACACTGCACCTCTTTATTCTCTTGTTTCTTTTCTGTCTCTGTCTTTCACTTGACTCAATCCTGTCCCCGACTCTCAGTATTTATTTCACAAGCCTCCTTTTTATATCTCCGCTGGGTGCTAAAAACAGGTCAGTAGATTTAAAAAGCAAATAAGAAAACCAGCAATGTCCCTTTATATTAACTAAACATACAGAAAGTAGCTCCTGGAATCAGTTGAATAAAGGAAAAATGTTTGTCTGAAACATGACTTGATTAGAGGATTTGTCAATGTTAGTTGAATTGTGACGTGTTGCTGTCTATTCAAACATTATGTGAATTCACCATACATAAGTCTTAGTGTTCATAGACACATCCAGACTTAAAAAGTGTGTATCATTCATTTACATATAGTAGAAGTGATTTTGAAACTCTGTTTTCAGTGGGATTACTTTGCACAGACATTGTAAATGTGCAAAGATTAGGCAGGTTTGGTGATCTAATGCCATTTGATTTTATTTTTACATAAGTATTGCACTTTATTTTCGACTGACAGTGTACGTTTTGTGTGATTTTCTGTATTCTTGTGTAATCCAGGCTGTGATAACAAAAATGACGCTCAAAAAAACCAAAGTAACACAGGATATGAGCAGTTGTGTGACCTGCACCTCTTCTACAATCCATGCAATACACCTTGTCAGTCATGTTAAAGTTGGTTCTTATAATGATCGCACAATACTTATCATTATTTGTACTTTCTTGACAGACAATAATGGAATAAGTTAAAGCTGTTATTCTGACGTTTTGTGATAGGTTACAGCTTTCAGCTAACATGCTATATTTGAGGTAATTATCTTCTGTAAAGTTACATGACTTAAGGATAGATTATAGGAAGTTTCGATTGTCATCTTTTGTTTTAGACAAAGTTAGAAATAACTTAAGTGTTAAAGGTTAAGAAAAGGAATTGAAAGCTAATTCCTAGTATCCTTATTGTACATGTATAAGCACGCTTGCCTTATTCTTTCTATCTATATTGTTTGCACATCACTCTTTCTGTTATTCGTTTATGTATAAGGAGGAAAGAATTAAGACAACACCCTCAGCCCCTCACTCTGATCACTGTTTCTCAAAGTTTAATCAAGGTTTTAAGTTTGTCCATGTGTGTCTTTCTGCGCAGTACGGTGAATTATCTCAGATGGTTTTGATAGCATAAAGGTTGCAGCAATTTTGCAGGGTTAATCAAGTATGGGAGATACCTGGCTGGTAAACAGCCAAATACCTTTGTGCCACTCGACAGTGACAATCACATGCTTCTCTAAACTACTGCATTGATTGTGTTTCAGTGTTTGATTTTACAGTAAAGTCAGCAGGTATGCACGTTCTTACCTATTCTATGTAGTTTGTCATCACAGGTTCGAGTGGTTCACCTTGTTTGTGTGAGAGTGTGTTTGTTTGTGTGACAGTAAAGTAAGAAAGAGGGAAAGATACTAAGCAAGAGGGTGGGAAGTTTTATGCGCATAGTGAAAATATGAATGTCATTAACTTGTTTAGTGTTAGTCTGCGTTTTTTGTTTTCTATTTTTCTGCTGTTTTTTTGTTACTGTTTGTGATGTAAAAAAATAAACTGGCTCTCACTTTGTATGTCTGCACTCTATCAGAAAACATCAGCAGTCAGATAGTGTTAAAATATATAATAAGAATTATAATAGGCCTACATCAGCATCAGCACCAAAATGTCTTTACTTAATTTTATTTTTTACAATAATATATATTTAATCATACAGAAAGCATCACTTATACATGCAAAAAATAAGATATTTTATTTTTATTTTTTAAAATTGTTCTCCGGGGCCCCCTATTGGCTGCGGGGCCCTAAGCAGGCCCTTTGTTTGCTTACGCCAGTGGTTCTCAAGTCCAGTCCTCGAGGCCCACTGTCCTGCATGTTTTGGATGTTTCCCTGCTCCAACACACCTGATTCAAATGATCCGCTCGTTATCAAGCTCTGTAATGGTTTACTAACGAGCTGATCATTTGAATCAGATGTGTTGGAGCAGGGAAACATCCAAAACATGCAGGACAGTGGGCCTCGAGGACTGGACTAAAGTCTACTTAGATTTTCATTTAGTCATCAGAAAAGTTAGGATCGTCATCATAACAGGGTTGGTTAATGCTAAAGTTATCAAGGGAATTGTTATAAAATAGAATGAATCATAAACAGTAGAGGAGAGTGGGGTAAGATGAGCCATTTTTCATATTTCAGATCACTACATCAGGTTAATCATAGTTTTGTCTCTAACTAGTGTATCTAGGGCATCCCTGCAAACCAACAGAATGGGTGTAAACATAACTGTCTTGATAATATAGCATGCCAAAAAAGTGGTCTCCTCTGGTCAACTTACCCCGTGTACCCCCTTCACCAGTGTGCTTCTAACCTTCACAGACTCCATGAATTGATGCCCATCTCCTAAATATTTGGTCACATGATCAATTTCTTTTACCATTTCCAAGCAACAGGGGGTGGCTCAACTTACCCTTTGGCTCAACTTATCCCACTCTCCCCTATGTCCTATCAAAATCACGAGTTGGTGCTTTGTTTTTACTTTCTATCTTCCAGAACAGAAGGTGGCGATAGAGGGCCAAGCCGCTGCAGCACCATCAGCTGTACTTCAAACTCGCACACACTGTCCTTTCACGGTACCCGTAGTTGACCTGCTGTACACCTTGAAGTGCAGTCTGTAGGCAGTAACTGGTATAAACAACTATTCCTTTTTAAACAAATGTGTGTCTTGAACTTATGTGACAGCTGTTTTGGAGTATCGAAGCGACAAACGACCTCAGTGGTCAGTGACGAGGAAAAACAGCATCGCTAGCTAAGGAAACAAGTCAAAACTGATGTACTTGTGGGACTCGAGATGTTTACAACGTGGTTAAGAACTTTGCGAAGTTTTCGCCGCCTCTCTCCGGACACACTTGTAGTAAAGTCGTTTGGTCCTGAGGTTAGAAGAAACAACAATGTTTGTCCCGCAGTGCTGACAGCGTGGAGGCTTGGAGGTACCAGAGATGTGAATACCTCCTGTACACTGTGCGCCAAAGTCCGAGGAAGCCAGAAGAAGAGTGACATCTCTGAGAAGAAACTGGTATGTAAAGGAGCAGCAGGCCCAGAATGACTTCATTACTAAAATCCATGTTTTAGTATTATTTATCATTGACAGAGCTATGTTAGCCACATTAGAAGCTGCTCCACAAATGGTACAGTGCTTGTAGATCATCCTGAAAACTGAAGATCTATCCTAACATGTTCTTGTCTATGACCTGGAAGCTGTCAGTGTTAATAATTGCTTTTCTTTGGCCCACAGACCCGTCACTTTATAGACCATCGCCGTGTAAGGCTTGTGGCAGGATCAGGTGGTAAAGGAGCCAGCAGCTTCCACAGTGAGCCGCGGAAAGAGTTTGGTGGACCAGATGGAGGCAATGGAGGGGATGGAGGAAGCATCATTATAAAGGGTAAGATTAGAGTGGGTAAAGTGGGCTACATTTGATCTGTTTTATATGGAGGGCAGAGTGGGGTAAGTTGAGCCAAAGGGTAAGTTGAGACATCCCCTATTGCTTGGAAATGGTAAAAGAAATTGATCATGTTACCAAATATTTAGGAGATGGGCATCAATTCATGGAGTCTGTGAAGGTTAGAAGTACATGGGTGAAGGGGTTAGACATTTATTTACCAAAAAAAAACCAAACATTTTTCACTCCTGTGAATCAAGTCTGTAATAAGTTTTATTAGAATTGTGTTCAGACCAAAAAAGATCATTTTAAATTTGTTTTACACATCAATTGTGGTATCTATGAGCTACAACATGAGGTCAAAAACCTAGCATAAAAGTCCACCATTTTAGCTGAGAGGACTAATAAAGTCATAATTGTAGTTCAGGGGTAAGTTGAGCCAGTGGTTCAACTGGGAAAGTAAGTCTGAAGAGAGTCAACATGTGGGGCGTCACATCCTGAAATTTGCAGACGACTCCGTAATCGTGTCCTTGCTAAGCGGTGATGACACTGCCCATGGTTCTGTTGTTAAGGAATTCACGACTGGTGCTCCGCATCCTTTATGCCCATCAATGTGACCAAAACCAAAGAAATGCTTATTGATTTCCGTAAACATTCATCAGCTATCCCTCCTCTGTTTTATCGTTTTTTAAATTTATTTATTGTTGTGCTAGTTGTCTTATGTCTCATTCTGTTGGTTTGCAGGGATGCACAACATCTTAAAATATATGTGGATAAACAAGTTTTATTCATTTATTTATTTGGATCCCCATTAGCTACTACCTTGGTAGCAGCTACTCTTCCTGGGGTCCACAAGAAGACATTAAACATTAATGTACATTAAAATGATAAAAGTCCAAACAGGAGAATTATACAAGATGTTAAAATGACAACTAAAACAAGAATTATAGTGACATTACATTTCAAATTACAACAAACACCAATAAAGGCCAAGTTAAATGTACAAGTAATGAAAATCCCCTTTGCATGTATTGTATGTTGTCACAGCCTAGTCTAGGTGTTCTGTTTCTTTTTATTTCAGTGAGTCTGAGTCATTAGTTATTGGTATACCTCCTTTTTAAACACATGTTTACTGGTTAACCTTGTAATAACAGAAGGAGGACTATCCCATATTTTCATACCTCTGAACATGACAGTACGCTGTCCAGAGTTAGTATTGGTGAGTGGAAGTGTGAAATAACCCTTTGATGCATGCCTTGTGTTGAAATTATGACCATTATGACTGAACTAGCAATTAGCTAGTTAGAGACAAAACTATGATTGACTTGATGTAGTGATCTGAAATATGAAAAATGGCTTATCTTACCCCACTCTCCCCTATATTGGACATCTTTCCCATGTCATTGTTGGACAGCTTGCTTTAAAACATTTTTCTCATTTGTGTGCGTTCAGCTGACCGGTTTGTCAAATCATTGGCGAAAGTAGTTCCAGTTTACAAGGGAGAGGACGGGCAACGAGGAAGTAGCAAGAACTGTTACGGCAAGAATGGCAATCCAACCTATATTCGTGTAAGACTGTGATCATAAATGAGAAGAAATTGATAAACATATTTCTGTGAAACACCTGCTGCCTAGCCTAACTTTCGCATGTTTCCATGATGAAGGTACCACTGGGCACTGTGGTGAAGGAACAGGGAAACTCAGTTGTTGATCTTTCTGAGCATGGCCAGGAGTATCTGGCTGTATTTGGAGGGGCCGGTGGGAAGGGCAACAGATTCTTTTTGTCCAATGAGAATCGTGCCCCCATGACTGCAACCCCAGGAACAGAGGGCCAGGAGAGGGTCCTTCAGTTTGAGCTCCGTACCATGGCCCATGCTGGATTGGTAGGAAAAATCAGCCTGTGTTTTTGAACAGCAATGTTATGTATGATGTGATTACTCGAACCTTTGCTCCATTAGGTTGGGTTTCCAAATGCTGGGAAATCATCATTGTTGAGAGCCATCTCAAATGCCAGGCCTGCCGTTGCTGCATACCCTTTTACAACACTCAACCCACATGTAGGGATTGTCCAGTACAGGGATCATGAGCAAGTTGCAGGTAGCTGATTTTAAGCAAACCCTTTGACAACATAATCAAGTTGTGACTGGATCTAACTTGGACTTAATGTTTTGAATTTGTTCCTCTTTTGGTAGTCGCTGATATCCCAGGCATCATCAGAGGAGCCCATCTGAACAGAGGTCTTGGCATCTCCTTTCTGCGTCACATAGAACGCTGTCGTTGTCTCCTTTTTGTTCTGGATCTGTCGTCTCCTGAACCCTGGACCCAGCTCCAGCACTTGTGTTATGAACTGGACCAATATGAAGCCGGTCTCTCCCAGCGGCCACAGGCCATTATAGCTAACAAAATGGACCTACCTGAGGCTAAGGAGAAACTAAAGACTCTCAAGAGCCTTGTCACCCAGCGGGTCATCCCTGTGTCAGCGCTCACAGGGCAGAATACAGAGGAGCTGATCCTCCACCTCAGGGAGCTCTACGATGGCAACATCCAAGAGGAAGGTGACTCCACCAGATGGTAGTGAAATTTGTTCCTCATGTTCTGTAGGTATATAAATTATTTAAATGCACACTAGATGTTAAAAATGTATTTGAATTCTTAATAAATACAAAACTAAAAGAATGTATACCTTCATATATGTGTGGCTGAATTGTTTTACCATTTCCAAGCAACAGGGGGCGGCTCAACTTACCCTTTGGCTCAACTTACCCCTCTCTCCCCAATATCAAGTGTTTGTATGTTCTTGAATTGAAAAGTTCAAGAATAAACCACCTGTTGTTCCAGCTCTGTCTGGTTTGTGTCTTAAGTGGGGGTGTGAAGACCACACCAAACAAAAGCTAGAGGAACCAGGGGGCATGGGGTGTATCTCTACTCTAATTCCATAATGTCCAAGCTAACCCAAACATAATGGTGTGACGCTTTGTTCCCTTTGGCCAATCAGTGAAAAGCTTTTTTTTTCTTCTAAATGGGGTGTTTCTCTAAGTGCTGTTTTCCATAACTCATTGTAAACAGGCTCGATTGCAACGTAAAGGTATGTAGATCATGACAAAGCACTGTGATGCAGGAATGAGCGATCATCGGGTAAAGTAGCAACAGCGACATCAAGTGGTTAAATCGACGAACTACAATGCATCCTTGCTATAACGGTAAGCTACAGTATGCACAGATCTGTTTAGGGACATTCCTCTATATCCGTTGAAAATGAAAGCGATGGTAAAGACTACGCATAAAATCACCTATCAGGCTTTATTTCAGAGGATACGCCGCCAAGACAACATCCCAGGTAAATCTTTGCTTCTATCATACAACTTTTTCCAAAATGAGCCATGATCACTTTCACATGTCTCATTTTTAAAATGAATAGCTAGATTATTATTATTTTTTTATTGCAAAGTTACAATCTCTAAATCGAGATAGTGAAAATCAGCTTTTTTTGTCAATAAAAAAGTAAAAGAGGTCAATCTCAATGGGTTTTTATCTGGTTGAATAAAGGTTAAAATACTGAAAAGTTTCAGTCTTTCAGAGTCATCTCGCAATAACACTCGAAGCAATTGTTTCCTGTCAAAACTGAAACGAGACATTTCTTAACATTTAAGAAATCGAAAATTAAAATGTGCCAATATATATAACTCAATATAGGCTACTTAAGACAGTTAACTCTAAAAAGTATATATTTGATTTTGCTCTGTACAGACACAGAAATCAAATATAACCAGACATCATTGAAAATGATCAAATAAACTTTTTTTTTTAATCTTTAAAGTCCGTTGCATATTTATTAGAACTTCTAGTGGACATCCTGCCTGTTATCCAATTTTAGACATATTTAAGGCATAAACTCAATGTAGAATATGTTTGGTAACCCCCTACCCCCTACCCCACACACCCCACCCCCACCACTCACTCACACACACACACACACACTTGCTACTTTCATTCTTTCACTCTTTCTGTAAAGCCCTGCAGTTACAAGAATGGCGGAAAAAAGAGAAGAGGCCAAAATTCTCTGGGACTTCCTTCGCCTTGGACAGCCACTGGAAAAAGTAAGCACTGCACTTTTTGGTATTTTATTTTATTTTTTTTAATGAATGCTATTTAATGCACTTCAATTAATTATTCCTTTTAACACCAGACAGTACAGCTTTTACGAGGCATTTAAGTTGGTACCATATTTAAGAGAGAAAAAACAAGAAATTTCCTTTTAATAAAAAAATTTAAAAAAGCAATGTCCTCTGGCTGCATTTCCACTTGTTTACCACCAGGAGGAAGACACTTCAAAGAGAACAGGCCTGACATTGTGACTTCAGAAAAAAAAAAAAAACTTCTGCCTGCCTGCAGACAGTTTTGCTCCTTTTCATCATATTTTGAAAAGATGAAACTACAAATCTGCACTCATAACATTAAACCTGTAGCATTAACCAGCCTCTTTTGTCAGCTTGTTCGCTGGCCAAGTGAAAAATTAAGACACAGTGCAGTTTTCACTGTGCTTGGGACCTATTTTCTGACCTCTACCAGATACTTTTTGTCATAGTTTCTGAAAGGATTTGCCTCAAACAAAGTAGAAATGACTGTATGCAGCACATTGCTCTGTTTGTTCAGCGTACACCTTGGTACAGGTGTAGGAAATGTCAAGTTTCATGTTTTTGTTCTCAGAGTGACGTGATTATCGGTCTGGGATGCACTGACATACAGGTTGCTGAGAAATCTGCTGAGCTCTTTTTGGAGGGTTGGGCTCCTCTTCTGCTCTTCACTGGAAAACAGGGAGCAGGGACTAAAGGTCTGTACAAGCATGGAGATATCTGTTGTAACTCTCTTCATACCATACACACACAAATACCCACATCTGATGTCACACTGATAACAAGCAATTCATATTTGAATAGATAAGTGGACCAAACCAGAGGCTGAAGTCTTCCAGAAGGTGGCTCTTGAAAAGGAGGTTCCAAGGGAGAACATCTTGCTGGAGACTGAAGCAACAAACACTGGAGAGAATATTCGTTTCTCTTGCAAACTCCTAAAGGAGAGAAACATCCCAGGTGAGAGGTTTCTGTCTGTGCCTGTAGATTAGTGTGTTAGAATTTGTCATACCACAGAAAGCAGAATATCGCCACTCGGAGCTGTTTTCTCAGGTTTTTTTTTTTTTTTTTTCGTAATTACAACAAAAACAAAAAGATTCTTGCTCATTTTCATTTGGTCTTCACTAAAGTTGTTTTTGGACCTTCTCCTCAGTGTCCAGTGTTATCCTGGTGCAGACGCCTATCATGGAACGAAGGGTTTATGCCACATTTGAGCGTCAGTGGTCTAAAGAGGGAGGGCTCCCAAAGGCCATTGTGACTTCACCCCAGGTGGCCTTCGATGAATACTTTGACAAAGATGCGACCAAATTCATCGAATCCATGCTTGGTACAGTCCATCTCCTTAATGCTGTTACTGTGTTTGATCAAAATGGACCATGATATGTTTATGTATTATGTTACATGAGTGTTTTTCAACTTTTATTGCACTGTTTTTTTTTTTTTTTTTTCAGAGACACTATACAGAATAAAGAGCTATCCTGAAAAGGGCTACCAGGAGGAACAAGAAATCCCTCGAAGAGTCCAATCTGCATTCGAATGGTTTTGCTGCGCTGGCTACAAATTTAAGAAATAGACACACACTGCAAAAAACGAATTTCAAGAAAGGAAAACAGCCTTGTATTAAGGAAATCAGTCTTATTTTTTTGTACAAAAAGAATATTAATCTTTTCAAGCATGTTTGGCATTAGAACAATTATCTAATTTTAAGAGAAAATGGCTTATCAAGAAAACTTTTTTCTTGATAAGTTATTTCAGCAAATTTTGAGATAGAATGAACCAGAAATAGAGTAGAAAAATCTTTCACAATAAAATCGGGCAAAGCAACAAGATAATTCGTCTTATTTTAAGAGTGAGACGTATGTACAACTTCTCAATTTAAGAATGCCACGAAACAAGAACAGTTGATTTTTGTTTTATTAAGATTTCCATTGCAGGTCATCTGAACCTGACAGAATCTTATCTGACAAGATGTCAGTCGGCTAGTCTGTACAACAGACAACATAATACAATGATCAGATGAAAACTGCAAAACAACAAAGAACATGCTTGCTTGTGGATTAAAAAAACATATATCTAATGAGAATGTTTTGATATCTTGATTCAAGACAACATCATTTATATTTGCTATGCTGTTTTAAGAAATTATGTCTTATTTGAACTACTGATTCTACTACAAGATTAAGCTGTATTTTCTTGAATTTCATTTATTCATAAGACTAAAGTTCTAATTTTAAGTAACTTCAATTTCATTTTCATTGCTTGCTATGGAAAAATTATATTAATACAAGATTTTCGGTCTAATTTTAAATTTCCTTTGAGTCTGTCTGGGCCAAGAAATTTGTTCTTTGGCAGATTTTTTTGCTTGATACAAGATTATTTGATTGAATATAACAATATTTTGCTTCTTTCTAGTAGGGCTGTTTTTGCAGTGCACTGTATTTACTGGAGTGCAAGTATTAATGAAATAAAAAATGTAGTGATTTCCCCAGAGAGTCTGTGCAATTATATTCATCCTCTCACACAGCTGCAGGTGTAAAGTAGTTATGAAAGACATTCAAATGATATTCTTCCTGAAATCAAATAAATAATGAATCTCTGCGCATTAAGGAGAGACTCCCTCTAGAAATTAATCATATTCCTTACACATTTTACAACCCCCCAAATAACTTAAAAAATATATATATAAAATAAAAAAATATATAAATATAAAAATAAAATAAAATAAATTTAGATACATGTCTACTCTGCAAAACAGACATGAAAATACCTCCCGGTGATTAGATAAATGAAACGTAAAGCGTTTACTTACACACGCACCTAGAGGACTTATTCATGCTCACACACACACATTAGAGTCACAAAGTTGTAACACAATGCAAGACACGTATGAGGGGTGCGCTTTTGTAGTACACAAGTAACACACAATCATTGTTTTCAGATACACACCCAGCAGCATATAAGTGTGAGAGAGAAGCCTGGAGACCCTCTCCTTTTGTTCGGTCAAGACTTTGTTTGTCATCCGTCATGATTTCTACAATAAAGACGCCCAGGCTGCTCTTCAGATCTCATCCTGTTTCCTTTGTATTGTTTTGCTGCATACTGTAAATGTTTCCCACAACAGTGGCTGCGGAGAGGGAAGTTTGGGCTTAGGGTGCTGCAACTCTCAAGATGAATGGATGGATAATAAATAACTAAAAAATAAAAATATATCCATATCTTTGGTTTCTTCTTCATCCTGTTTTTCTCCCTCATCCTCCTTGTTTAAATTTTAGTGGGACAGTGAAAAACCATGAAAACCAGGACATTTTCATCACTTTATAAAAAAAAAAAAACAACTAGGACGGCCAGGACAGGACTTGAAAAATATCCTGGGAAAACAGGATGTTTGGCCCCCCTAATGTACATAGTTACTGTGTGAAAGTGAAAATAATGGGTGAGATGATTGCCACAGTCAATACGAAAATCACTCTTAAACCACAAGGAGTCAGTGTTCCCTTAGAAGTAGATTTTCAGGTTGATATTTATACCAAATACTATTTTTTTAAAACAGCCTAATCTAATGGTAAGTCATTCAATCAATAAAGTACTCGTCTGTGGCCTTTATAGACTGCATGGTGGGCATATGCAGACATCGAAAATGTGAAGTATCAATCTGACCTCAAATCTAATATGAAAAACATCAACATTCACAAAACAGATCAACAAGAACTGCTTTATTCATTCTAAATTAATTCTAAAAGTACACACTCAATCACTAACACTCACATGGGGCATGTAAACACACCTTTTTATTTTATCTACAATCGAAAAACAAACACAAAACTGGCTCGACAAGCTTGCAATGCTGGGTCAGAGTTCCATGGAAGTGTGGCACATCTGCGGCGTTAGTAATCATAAGTCTTCCATGGAAGAGATAAGTTTACCCAGAGACACACCTACAGATTTCTGGCAGTCACGCACAAAAACTGACACGAATTTAGCCCACAGAAACAGCAATGTCAGCTTTTTCAGAAGCCTAAAGACATGACACAGACTCACAATACAAACAGACAAACTTGTATTATTCTATGTAACTACTGCAAAGGTAAATACAGTGCATTAAAAAAAGCAACCCATACATGAACTTTAAAACAAACCATAAACAAAAAAGGAAGCATCCGCGTTCATGTCCTTTCTATGAAAGCACCATGAGAGTAACCAGTTACCTGTGTTTAAAGAGACCAACATTTTTGATCCACATTATGCTGATGAGGAAACACTTTTCTCCATTTTGCTCTCTGTTGCAACACCTGATGTTACAGCCGCTATTTGCAATTGTGTTGAAGGATCCAGTCAGTGTTTTGACCTTGAGTTCTTGTTTCTTGGTCTCCTGGATTTCCTGTTATTCTTGAACTTTTTTCTCTCTTTGAATAACTGCTGGCTCACGACTCAAGAGACTTTAGTAAACTGTGCACTCATTCAGCCGTCTCTCTTGGGCTGCCCAGCTCCCTGTTATTATTGCTGTAACACACAGTTTGTTGTCCTAAAAGAATACTGCAAATACATTTCAGACACAGACTTTCATCAGTGGGCTTAGCCGTCACTTGTTCGCTCGTCTGCCAAAGACAGTGACCTGACAGATGTTTTTTCTAGTTTGTAACTTTTAAGACTCATCTGACTTTTGTCAACAGTTCCCACAGTATCCTATTTTAATTGTAAGTGCCGAGGTATGTGATGCTATCTCTTCATACCTGGGCCCTTCCCTACAGCACACCCAATTACACAACTATTTGTGGTTATTTTTTTCCTTTACGTGCTGTTGTTTACTCTATGAGTAACTGTATCATAAAAGTCTTTAATCTGATGGAGAAGAATAAATCTCACAAATCAAATTTGGAGGAGTGAAGCCCCCATCTCCATATCAATCAATTCAATTAAACAATTTTGATTTATATAGCACCAAATCACAACAATCAGTATCTCATGGCGCTTTCCAAAAGAGCAGGTCTAGACTTAGCTCGTTGGCTTTTGACGTTATTTGTTCCATAACTTGAGGCGCTGCTGAATACAAAGAAACTAAGTCTGAGATGTTGTTTGATCGCTGGAAAACACGTCCAGAAACATTGTGAGAATGAAGTTTTACAGTGCAAAATGTTCTAGTTGCCAAGACTCGTCTCTTTTGCAGTCGGACTTCACTCTGCGTGTACCTAATCCAGTTCCCTAGCATAAATTTAGAAAAGAATAAACTTGATAAATTGATAATCCTGCAGTAATGTTTTGTCTTCAAATTTCAGGCAGCCATTTCTCCAATCAGGCTGCTGTTTCTTGTCTTGTCCTTTCCTCTATCCATGCATTCATTTGTTGTTTCCCTGAGAATAAAGTCCTTTGGTTCATGATCATAGTAACTGTCATGATTACACCACCTTTACCTCTGTGATCAGCAGAGAGCTAGCAGTGGTAGATGTCGCTGTAAAAGTTGCTCTCTCAAGTCTGTCCATCTCTTCAGAGACTTGTGCTTTCAGGTTTTTTGCTCAGCATGGAGATGGAGGCCAGATGATTAAACCTGGAGTCCAGACCCAGGAGTGACTCTGGATCAAAGGGTGTATCAAGGATGGAAATGGCATCGAGTGAATCGTTGGGCTCAGAGTTTTTCTCTTCAGTGTACTCATGAGGAGCGTAATCATACAGCTCCTCGCCTGATGCTTGCAACACATACAGCTTCTGTGGAAGGCGAGAGTAGAGGGAGAGGAGGGGAAGTGCAGATTCATTTTGAAAGAGAAACTTAACCTTCCTCCTGTGTTAGCTTTTACTACGCACCCACCATGTTAAGAGTCGGTTTTGACCAGTTTCTTAAATCAGCTGTAGATTACACTAAAAACAATTCTCTATCATCCAATTTGGTTCTCATCTCTAGGTTACCTTGTTAGGCTTCATTATCCATGAAAATATTGCTTATAATAGTTTTTGTAGTGAGCCTCTAGGCCTTTCTATGGCAGTATACCCCTCACACAGACATCTATACTGAATTGATCGCACATGTCTGGACATGCCTGATGTTGTTTTTTGTGTGTGTATGGTAGAGGTTCCCGACAAAGTCAAATAGTCTTGATGCAAAAAAGCTAATTTAAGTGGTTCTTTTAAGCCAGTGGTTCTCAAGTCCAGTCCTCGAGGTCTGCTCCAACACACCTGATTCAAATGATCAGCTCGCTATCAAGCTCTGTAATGGCTTGATAACGAGCTGATCATTTGAATCAGGTGTGCTGGAGCAGGGAAATATCCAAAACATGCAGGACAGTGGGCCTCGAGGACTGGACTTGAGAACAACTGTTTTAAGCATTTGAAAACAAAATAGTGACAGGCCCGGCAGTTCTTTTAGATGTACTGAATCACTAGAACCAGTTCACTAAAAAGATTTGTTCCAAAGATTCGTTCACCAAATCACTGATTCACTTAACGCTTGGCGGGGGTGTACTGTCCCATTGTATGCCATTTATCAGGTCTGCTCAGTAAATTGGGCTCAGTGAGTGATTCGTTCACTGATTCACACTGAACATGCACCGTTCCCTCGCAAACCGCTGCAATGATAGGATGCTGCGGGTTTAATGCACTATTTGTTACATGCTGTATCCTGTTGTATGCAAGTTGTTGTGATGGCAATTTAGCAGTAAGAAAAATAAAAACGTAGTTAGAAAGTGAGAAATGAACAAATCACTCGAGGAAGTGATTCGGTTCAGTACGTTTACTTAAAAGATTTGGTTCTTTTGAACGAATCGTTCACAAATGACACAATGCTAAAACAAAAACGGGTTGGTGCAGACCCTAACACAGGAGGAGGGTTAATACCCCAGCTTTGTGTTTTTTGGCTGTTAAACTTCTTTGTCTTACCTGATTCAGCACTTTGGGAAGGACTCCATTTATAATTGTGAAATTACTATGTTCTGCAGAATATTTCCGTCGACGTCCAGAACTCTGAAAATCAGAGGCAAATTCATAGTTAATGCTGAAATAAGTACACAGAAAACTTCCTCTATAGATCTCAGATTTGCGTAGATTGCAGTAGTACCCTGGTTGATGAGACTCTGGTCAGCTGTTGTGCTCTCATTGATGATGATGCTCCCATGGACTGAAAATTAGACTGAAATTCAGAGAATAAATAAGAGCGCGTGGCTGTTTCTGATTGAATAAGGATAAATGCAGACGAAAAAGAGTAATTAAATAATATTATTAGATTTTCTTTACCTCTTGCACATAGTAGCCTTGATGTTGTCGTCCGTCAGTTTGGGAAGGGGCTTTTTGGGATCTTGTCAATGACGTGGTTCTTTTCTGGTAATAAAAGTGTGATAATAATAATGATGATAATAAATCATCATACGTGCCCTATTTTTGACCTTGAATTTAAAGTTACTTACTGGTGCTGCAGCACTTGTTTGGACTTGAGATTTTTTCACAATTGACCCCCCACTTTGACCGTTCATGGAATGATTCAGTGAAACCTGTTAAAAAATTGAAGCTTTTAAAACAAGAAGTCCAAGTTACATTTACTTAAGCATGAGCAGAGTAGCATTATCACAAGGCAAAGCTCTTTTCACTGTAGACAAACAAATACAAAAAGAGGATGTGAACAAATTCACTCAAATATTTGTTTCTAGATGTCACATTTAAGAACAGGTCATATTATTAAAAAGGTAAATACTTTGCAGTCAGTCCCCCGTGTCTCAATGTTGCTGTTCATCAGACGCCCTGAACCTTCCTCCTCCTTTATCATAGCATGCTTTTTCTTGCATGATACCAAAAACGACAAAAGGAGCACACCTGGAACACAAGGACCACACACACAAAGACAATCTGTTTGTTTTCTTGCCAAGGAAGTGCAAAAAAAAATGTGATGTGTTTTACGAGCTGTCATTTTACTGCACTGAGGTTTCATTCATGAAGATCCTGTCATTCTTTTTTGGCATGCTTCTCCCTCACCTGCAATCAGTAGTAAAGCGAAAAAAATGATCCCAATGACAGGCGCCCCTGCTGCAACGCTAGTAGATTTGCGGATACGGCAGTTTGGCTCCTTTGGGTTGACGCAGTTACACACAGTAACAAACAGGTTGTGGACAGCAGAATTGGATTGAAGATCAGACACTTCTATCTCCAACTCATGATGCCCAGAGGGAACGTTGCTCTCCTTCACCAGGCTGGTTGAGTACCCTGCGTGTGCGAAATGGGTTGATGTAAATGAACACATACTGAACAACTCAGAGGTTGATTTGGCACAATCGGGACTGTTAGCATTAGTTTTATGATCTTTGCTTTCACCTTGTTGAGGTTTAACACTCCATTTCCCCTCGACATCTCCAAGGAGCTTGAAGCTGAACGGTCCACTGTTGATTCCCTCATCTATATCAGATGCTTCGATGCTAGCCATGGATTGCCCATCTGATTGGCAGATGTCGATTGTGTTAGCATCCAGCGTTGGAGCGTTGTCGTTCTCATCCATGATGTAAATGGTCAGGGTTGCAGTGCCTGTCATTGGAGGTTTACCTGGCAGACAGAAAAGCGTACATTTCAGCAGCTGGACAAAGAAATCCGTCACATACTGAAAATGTTTACTTCTTCATGTCATACCATCATCAAAAGCCAGTATCTCGACAATGTAGGTGTTGTTTTTCACAAACGGTGACTCTCGGTCCAGAGGCTTTGATATGGTTACCTTTCCATCCATGGGGTCTACTGTAACCCAGTCGGCTGGGTTGTTTTCGATTTTGTATCTGAAACACAGTAATACGCCATGTTAGATATTTTCAAGTTCTTCCTGATGTGCTAATGCAGGAAGCTGTTGTCTGTAAGATGTGAAACTTTGGTCTTTGTAACTTACTGTACTTTGTTTTGACCTTGACCATCATGGTCCTGAGCTGTGAAGGTCTCTAGATGTCGTCCCACTGAAGAACTCTCCAACACTGAGACTTGTTTTTTACTTATGAGGAAAACAGGGGCTTCATTGGTATCCTCAACGACCACTGTCACTGGAAAGGGAGGTTGGCTTTTGTCTTTTCTGCTGATGACCACGTCCCATAGTCCACTTTTGGTGCGAGTCTTCACTTTGCATGTATGAAAGGGGATCTCATTCTCTACAGTAATATTCAAGTGCTTTTTAGGGTTGTCTTCATAATCCAGGTGCTGTAAAAAAGTGAGATCGAAGTTAGTTTGAACTTCAGGTCTTCCATTCTACTCACACAAGGCAAATAATTTACCCAAAAACAAACTTTGAATTTTGACAATTGGACCAAATTTGTGTGAGTCCAGCTTCACCACGGCGTTTGACAGAAGTTTGAAGAGCTTGCTTGGCTTCATTACACAGACTAAATACCTTAGTCACAGTCAGTATTCCCTCGTTTGTCTTCGGATCTGTCGTGATTTTGAAGTTATCGTTAGTGTCCCCGTGGATTTTGTACACTGCTCTCCAGGCTGGTGTCCCTTTGTAGTCTTCGTCTGTTACTTGTACATTTAAGACAACAACATTTTCTTCTCCTTCTGTTACACGAGCAGGACCCTTGAGTGCAAAAGAAACAAAAATATTGTTAATGCAAAGAGATCATTGTCTTACAGGCATCACTGCCTTCCTGAGGTTGGTCAAAGGAGTATTTGCTCACAGTAATTCCGGTGATGACAGGAGAGTGGTTATTTCCATCCATTATATTGACTGTGACGGTGGTAGTGCTGGAGTGCTGCACGTATGTCCCTTTGTCTTTGGCCTCCACAAGAATGGTGTACTTCTTAGCTTTCTGATTGGTTAGAAAAGAAAGTCTCTTTTAAAATGAGAATTTTAATCTGTCACTTAATTTGGAGACGCAGATTTTCCAAGATTGACCAATTTGATGTTTGTCCTCTCACCAGGTGTTCCAGACAGCCATTAAAGAAAATGACTGCAATTTTTCTGGCAGGTACCTCCTTTAGATAAAACTCCACATTATCATGTTTAGGCATGACTGAGACCATTCTGTATTGGACTTCTCCATCGTTTCCAGTGTCCACATCTACTGCCTTAACGGTTGTCACTTCAGTGCCTGCCAGTATCAGAAAAAAAGCAGTTGTTATAATGATACATAATAATGTGAAATATTAAATATTTTCCATTATTCGTTCTTTTTTTTTTTTCTTGTGGTACTTTATTTTTGTGGTGCATGACATGCTGAGTGAAGGTTACGGTGGGACTCTTATTTTGGCGGAAGAATAATTTTGTTTAGTTGTTCATGAATTGTTATTGGCCATATTTTGGTTCATTGGTTGTGTCATTGGTTGCTTGGGGAAATCACAGCAGTATATGAATAAATGAATGAAAGTGAAATGACTTGATTTAAATGAGCTCCAGTTTCATCAGCTGAAACAATAAGGGATGGATTTTATTCCTTTAAAAATGACATAAATAAATGACCCGATATCCCAAAATAGCCTACAAGAAGCTCTCTATTTGGCTCAGTAATTTTAAGAGCAGAAAGGTACAGAGGAGGATAAGGGCCAAAAAACTTTTTTTTCTAAAACTCCTTTTTTCTTCAAACTCTGAGATTCACATCAGAATTCTCACTTTTTCTGTTATGGATGGTTTCAAACCAAGGCCTCCTTTAAGAAATGGAATCTTAAAATGCTCAAAAAACGTAATCTGCATCCTATAATAACTGATTTTTGTTTCTCAGTGAGCTGTCCCCAGTTATTTTTTGTTTGTTTAATAATATTATGTGCATGATAATGTGCAACCATAGTTTTTTTTTTCCGTGACAATACCATGAGAAAGTTACCTTGTTCTGTTGACTCTGGTATGCTGACCTCATAAACTTCCTGGACAAACTTTGGAGCGTTGTCATTTGCGTCCACAATTTCTATCTCGATACCCAGCTGTGTGTCTATGACATCGTTTTCTTCATTCAGTGCCTGGAATGTGAGCTAAATATGGGGAACAATCAAATCTTTATACATGACACACACATCCACACACACTCAGATCCTTATACGCTCTCAATGAGATCAATACAAAATTTCACTAATGTTAAAGGGAATTTTGTCTTACATCCAAAACTTGGAAAGTTTCATAGTCCACAGGCTTGTGGACGTGGATTGTCCCGGTTCTTTTGTTAATAGTCATGGTGCCTTTTGGTTCTTTTTCAACACCTTCACCAAGGATTTTGAAAACAGTCAGACTTTTCTCTATTTGGATCTGGAAAAAAAAAAAAAAACACCAGAAGTTAATTTTGTACTGATCTTCTTGCACCATTCCTATAGGTAAAATATTCATGCGCTGTGGCTTTGGGTTGATACTTACGGTGCCCAGTTCATATGGAAAAGGTCCTGTATAGTTTTCATAAATCTTAAAAGAATCAATTATCCAGTTTCTCTTTTGTCGCCGCAGGATTTCAGAAGATGACCAGCTGATTCCCAAACACTGAAAAACATTGCATCATAGATTCTGATAGAAATATATAGAAATATAGATATAATCACAAAGTTATAAATCTTTTTATAACTTTGTGATAAAATCCTAAATGCAATCACATTTATCCACCAAAGAGATGCAGCGTAAATCTGTAAAATCCGTATTGTCATATTGAGTCATATATTTAATCTGCAAAAACAAAACTTCCCCTTTTATCAGGTGTTCCTGTCATTGACCGCCATACAAATCAGTGTTTGCAGCTTAATCTGAGCAAAAAAAAAAAAAGTAGTTTTATCTACCAATATGTTTTCCAGGAATCGCCTGTCATGTTGAAACATGAATCTGAAGGAAGATTGAATCCCTCTATGAAAATAGGTCCCCACCTGGAGTGTAATCTTACCAGCAGCATGTAAAAGCTGAGCAGTGAAGTCCCCATAGTGTATCCAGAATGTGTGCGAAATGTGCTCTAAAAGTTAATCCCTTCGATAAGAAACGTGAAGCAGCTGAATGAAAGCTCTGTTGACTGCCAGTGCTGGCTCTGGCAGCAGTATACCTGCGAGTGGGAGGGCCTTTTCACAAAGCAATGATCTCACATGAACCTTAGAGGTCTCGACTGAAAGTTCATCGCAGAGGGGCGTGGACAAAACATTCACGGCGTTTGCTTATGCAGGTGTTTGTGTGTGTGGGAGTGAGAGACAAAGACAGCGGGTATGAAAATTAGTGTGTGTATGTATGAGTGCACGTATAACATTTGCTTTTCAAACCTTTCAACTGTAGTAGGTTGAGAAAGTCATTTTTCATTTTACAAACCACAGTTCTTGAAAGGGTTTGTGGAAAATACATCAATAAATAAAGAGAGCATGTTAATGGGCGGCTGCATACTTTGATATATATTTAAGTCAGGGGGTCTTGCCTGAGGATAATCAGGGACTTAGACAGCAAGGACCTGGTATTGAACCCCTGACCTGCAAATTGGGAGACAACCAACTGCTGCCAGTGAGCCACAGCCACCTACAGTCCAAAAGTAAGAAGACATTAAAAAGCTGTCAACATGAGCAAAGTTTATTTACCATCTTTGAGATCCACTTTAAGATGTAATCTTTCATCTGTGTTTCACCTACAGCTAGTGGAGCGTCATGGTAGGGCTGGAGTAGTACACTTACAGTATATGAAAAATCAAAAGTGCCCTGAGGATGCTCTTCGAGTATCACTGGAAAGGCACTTGGAATCTAGAAATCCTGGAATTCTATGTTATAAAATGAATAAAAATGTTGTTTGGATGTCTAGCCAGTGAATAAAATGTTTAGTAAAGTTCCCCTTGATTACCTTTACTGTGGATCCATTGGGAATTGTGCCCTCTGGATCCCCCCTCTAAAGGATAAAACTTGATAAGGTTCCATTTCAGCAATTTAACACCATTGTATTTTTGGTTTAGTCGTTGTTAGGCCGACATGTGAAATTTGAGAGTGAAGTGAAACACTCCAGGAAGTTAATTTGAATTCAAGAGTCTAAGCACCTGGAGTGGAAAAAACACAGACATACTCCAGGGAGAACTTTTCACCTTTCCTACTCAGACATAGTTTTGGTAATATCTTTTCTATTGCGCTGGACTGGTTAAAAAACAGTGCCATCACCACATCCTGATCACCAAATTGGAAATGCTGACTCAACTTAGGCTTTTCCAAGCAAGAGGTAAAAGGAGGAGTCAAGGTGGGCTTTAGCCTCCCTGCTAACTACTATAGTGTGCCCATGTGTCAGTCAAGTTAGCTCAACACCTAATCATGTAAAACTTGTAATTACAAGAAATCACTCCTCCTGCTGTATGTACAAATACAGAAAACAGCTCTCCAGACCACAACTTTTTTTCGAACCAGGCAGAAAAACCATGTTTATTTTGCTGTTAAATCAGATTTTTTTTTAATCGGATGTGTATTTGACCTGTAATCGTGGTCTTCTTCAAACTATACTTCTTTTTCATACGACTGACGAGTCATAATAAACGAAACGAAACCAAAAAACAGCTTGCTTTGTTACTACACTTGAACCAGAATTACAATCACTCAGTCCGGCTTCATGCCTGAAAGTACGTTTTTGTCATTTGTTTTTGTCAAATAATAAGGTCATCATCGATATCTCATTCATTCTTCATCCAGTTCTTTGTTTTTGTTTTGTCTGTGCACATTGCGAAAGCATTGGGAATATGCTGACTGACAGCTACATGATTTACAGTCTACAAAAACACATTTAAGACAGCCTGTTGTGTTTTATCTCTATGCACCTCAGTCACATTTAAAACTGAAGTGTTTACTTCAGGCTCTGTAATCTTTATTTCATGACAATTGGAGACTTAAAAGGTTTGCATTTACATTAACAAGTAAACTATATGAAGATAACAACCTTGCTTAGGACAGATGAATTACTGCTGCAAATTAAGAAACCTCACCAAAGTCTGGAGATGAAGGTATTGAGCCTCACCTGCCTTGACATTACCGCCGTATTAGTGTGAGATCACTTTAATCATGTTGAGTGAGTCTTTCAGTTACCACAAGGAAACAAATAAAGCATACCACATCAATCATTTGGCTCAGGAGAAACACCTGCTGCAGCTTGTGTTATGCTATACAAGTTCCAGCCAGCATCAAGCTAAGTCATGACAGTGAATCGAAGCATCAGCAAAACCATTTACCGGCAACCTGGGACGCTGCATGAGAAAAAGAAGGCAAACCCTGCAGGGAGATTTCAAACCTGTATAACATATCAATAAAAAATATTAATAAAAAATATGAAGGCTTAATTATGCCTTCATTAGTTATGCAACAAGACCCTTCATGATAATTTACAGCAGAAAGAAAGGAAAACTCAAGGAACCACCTCTCTTACATTTTGTATCTGTGTATCAAACAAGCAGATTAACTCATGTCAGATTTACATTTCACTCTCTCTGCCACACCTTTACCTGATACAGCCTCCCCGTGTAGTACATAGAATACATGCATTCGTTACAGAAACAAGTTCATCTACTTCTGTTGTCAGCCAAGGGACCAATTCTTTGGCTTTTATCCACAACTTTCAAAGGGAATACCAAACTGTAAAAGCACATGTCAAACAAAGTCACTCAAGTTGAAGATTATTCTGACAACCACGCATGGAGCTGATGATCTCGTAATTACACATGTAGTCTTTATACTGTTCAATACCAACACAGCAGAAAACGTCTGTCAGGTTTTCAAAACAGAGTCAAGTCTTGATCAAAAGTATGTGGTCTGATGTTATGTGGGATTATGTGGATTAACATAAAGGGTGAGCAAAGAGATGATTCAATTTAACCCTTCTCTCCTGCAAGTATTTCATGCCTTTGCTCTGTGCTATTGAATACATAGACTTTAGCTCAGGCTTAAGATACTTACTGTAATGGTGAGAAATGAGACCTTGTCATTACAGTAGGGCTTTACTTCAATTATCTGTAATGGTTATATTTTTAGTTTATGATTTGATTACAGTTGCGTTAGTTATCTAACACTGTTTTTACTCCTCTCCAAACAACAGACAGTTCAGATCAAAAGTTTATGGTGGCCCTGGAGATCAATTGCATCAATGTTTCAGGAAGACAATAACTGCAGTATTTCATATAACACAAAAACAACTTGTTAAAAGCAAAAAAAAAAAAAAAAAAAAAAGTTCCGGAAATATTTTTCAAAACTCTAATATGTTTCATATGAACACAAGATAAATTTTAAAAACACAAAAATACTTCAAACATTAAAAGTATTTTCAAAAAACATAAAGAAAAACATCAAAATCAAATAATTTTGAACACAAAATATATTTTCAACACATTTATTTTTTATTTCAAACACAAACAGATTTTAAAAACACATTTTCTCTAGAAAACACAATTAAATGTATATAAAAAATATTCTTTTAATCTATTTAAAAGAATTTATTTTTTTCCAAAATTCAATTGCATTTATTTTACATTTTTGATTTTTAATTGTTTTGTGTTATCCAAAAATATTTTCATGTCTTTTGGTTTTTACAAAATTACTATTTCTGTTTATGTGAAATATGATCAAATTCTTTAAAATGTTTCCTTGTTATGTGAAATATTGTTTTTTCATTTTTCATTCTTTTTTTTTACTGCCCTCCTGAAATATCACTACCCTTGACCTTCAGGCCACTGTAAACATAGCTGTCAGCAACTTATTTATGCATTGGCAAGTTTATTTTTCCCCAAAATTGATTTTATTTCTTCTCAAAATTAAATGCATGTTTAAGACAGCTTATACACAAAAAATGCACATATATCAACAAAACTTAGGCACTGACACTGATACAGCAGATCCACATTGATGTATCTTCAGATAAGTAATACCTGAAGGAACAAGATCACCGTCCAGTTGCTCATTAACAGTAATAAGTCCTGACAAGTCAGTGCGTGTCATTCCTTTTGCAACAGTGAGCTCTCTGAAGATGAGCAAGAATGAAACATCTCATACTCTGGGATATACCAGTTTCAACACAAGTAAAGGTACATATTTACAAATCAAATTAATACTGTCATGTCTAAAACCTTTAGCTTTAGAAGTGATGTGCCTTTTAAAGCAGCGATCCTTTCTCAGGTAGCAAAGTAGAAAAGAAATTAAAATTACGCAATAATAAACCTTACACACCCAGTCCCTGTCAACATGTAACTTTTCAAAATAACCAGAGCATAACAGTTTGCACAGTGCATTAAGTCAAAGTTCAAAAAAGAGCAAAGCACCACTTTCATCAGCAGATATCATTCTACGATGCCAATAAAAATGTTGTGAACAAAATCCTCGCAAAAATTTCACCCTGTGGTTTAAGGTTTTCATTACAACCCCCCCAAAATCCCTCCAAATTTAGAGTCAGGTCCATCCATGTTGCCAGTCTCAAAACAAAAAAAATCTAAAAGAAACATTCTCAGTCCAGCAGTGCTCCTCAAAACTGTAGATTTTTTTCGTGAATTTTCTGCTGCAAGATGTTCCCCAGGGTCTTGAACCTGGGTCCTAAGTCATTCAGGAAGTTAAAATCCTGTCCATAGTCGCTAAGTGACAGCTCGTCCAGCGACGCTGATCTGCTGCCCAGTCCCTCGTAGGCATACTCACGGGGTCTGTACGCTGGGTGGTCTACGAGGTTCCCATCAATGGTGTGCAGTCTCTGTGGGTATGCGGAGGCAAAAAAACAAAACATGGTGATCTTTAAATAAAAACTAAATCAACAAAAAAGGTCATACCCTAAAATACCCACACCTATAAATATACATGCACATCCACTTTTTTCAATCCCCTTAAACAAATGCAGACCTTTTAGTGGACTTCTTTAATCAATTATACATACACGACTTGGAGATTTTAATAGATCCCAATCTGCTGGCATTCAGTTCACTTTATTTCATCAGGGGATAAATGGCTGCTTTTCAGAAATTGCTTCATTTCATGTATAGCTTTTAACCAAAGCACTAAACTGTTTGCCTCTCATCCATTTATCACTCGCACTAATGGCAGAAATTCTCTCGCATGGTTCTGGTCTGACCATCAGGGCCAATTTCATGAGCATACATGAGCTTTTATAAAACAAATGAAGTTACATGTTGTTCTTCTTTTCCAGGGAATTGAAAGACGCTGCCTGTGATCAGCAGACAACCTGTTCATCCTCCTGAGCTACGTGCGATCCACCCAGTAATTAATTCTTCTGAATTTTAAAGGTCTCTTAAGGCACAGCGTCGGTGTTCTGTTCTGTTCAGGTGAGACAACTCCTTACCCTGTCGAGGTGATCTGCGACACGTTGACTGGACCTCTGGGTGAGAGAGTAATGATATCTTGATGAGCCTCCCTGTTCGCAGAGAGAGGATTATTAGCTCCTATAGCGAAACTATGTACAGATTCTACACTGCTGGATGAACACACTGTACTTTACATAATTAACATAACGAGTTGTATACTATGCAGTCAAAGCAGATTTTTTTTACTGTCCTGTTGAAACATGCTAATGTTGATCAACACAAACCTGGTAGGAGTTTGTCCTGTTTGTGTTCCACGCAGAGTACTAAAAGAGAAAAACATTGACATTTTAAAAGTGAGATTTAACCACTCCAACTTCACTTTATGTTGTACTTTTTTAGTTATGAATTCATGGATTAAAAATAGAAACGAGATTGTCCCTTAAAGAAGCATGTTTTTGTTATATTCAGTGATAATCCACATCTGGATCCAGTCCATTTTTTATATTTTATTTTTTTGAGTTAGGATGGGCTTGATATTTGAAAAACAAACTCATTATGACCCAAATGAAAAAAAAAAGATTAGGGCCTCTGGAGAAAAAAGGTCCAATTTATATATGTATGGCTGTGTGTTTGTGTGTGTGCTTTCCTCCCTTTGTCTCCCCACAGCTGCCCAGGTGAAATCACTGAGTGCCAATCAGACTCACCTGGTGCTGGGAGTTTAAAGACCCAGACCAGCCTGCAGTCTGGAGAGGCATTTGGTAGGGAACTGCTGCCCTGCTACCTCTCATTTGTGTTGTGGGTTCTTTGTGTTAAGTTAGTAATTCTGGTTCTTTTGTCACAATAAATCACTGGTTAAACTTTTGAAGGTGTTTTGTTAATTCAGTGGGTCAAAAGGTGAGGATAGTTGTCGCCGCCTTCGGGTGGGGCATAGAACTTATATACATAGATATATTTGTTACAATTATTCTGAGAAAGAAGTCAGAATTTGGGGATTAAAGTCAAAATTCTGAGAAAAGAGGCAGAATTCTGACTTCAGTCCCAGAAATCTGACTTTTTTTCTCAGAAGAATGATAAAATTCATAATTCATGTTAAATATCAATCAGCTGTTATTTCAATATGAAAATGACAAAATAGGTTACAACAGTGGTTCTCAAGTCCAGTCCTTGAGCCCGCACCCCTTGTCCTGCATGTTTTGGATGTTTTCCTGCACCAACACACCTGATTCAAATGATCAGCTCGTTATTAAGCCATTCCAGAGCTTGATAACGAGCTGATCATTTGAATCAGGTGTGTTGGAGCAGGGAACTATCCAAAACATGGGGGGGGGGGGGGGTTTAAAGATTAGATTAAAAGTTATTAAAACTATGTCACACATTTTTGTGGTAAATTTTTAACTGTATATGACGGGAAATGTGAATTACAAACTTTAAAAAAACTGTTTTTAAAAATCCATTTGGGAGCCACCGGATTTTTTTCAGGCTTACTCGCAATGAGTCAAGGATGTGGTTTCAGTGCCCTCATTGGTTTTAAAGTTATGCAATCTAAAAACAATATGCCCTCATGCCACCCTTACCACATCTTTGGCTCAGTTTGAATGGTGCCTAGAGTAATCTTCTGGTTTCCCAGCTGATAAAATTTAATTAAATAGGACTTTGATTTCACCTGGAGGAAATGACACTGTCACAGTCAGTGTTTTGTCTTTGTATTACTAAAAGCTGCCTCTTTCTCTGTCTGTGAATTTGCATGACCTGTTTACAGATCAGTGTGAAGTTAAATAAACTTCTTATGTATTAAAAGAAAATAGAGAGGCACAGAAAAAAAGACTAACACCCCCCAAAAATATAAGTCCTGATTGTCATGGGTGAGTATGCATGCAACCCGTACTGTATAGAAGATAGGTTGCTCATAATCTGAGCTGTTGCACCCTCTTGTGGATGCTTTTTATATCTCATCCGCGTTCACTCACCATGTTCTGCCCCCCTTGGCTCCTCATCGAGTCTCTTTGATGGTGCATGCTCATTGAGGCCATGTGAGAGTTCATCTGAAGACAAATAACACAAGGGTTGAATCAGGAAGAGTAGTAAAAATTAACCACATGCACACAATGTAATATATCAGTCCTGTAAATCCCTGTAGGTCTTTGTTTTCCTCACTCACCATGGTCTGTTCATAGCTGCTGTACATGTCAATGTCCTGGCTCATAACTGCAGCTGATTTAGACATCTGGCAGGGCAAAGATAATAAAAGTACATTTGTTTTACACACATAGATGTGACTTAAACAAACTTTCAACCACATCAAGCATTATATCCCTATTCATCTGTCATCACCTCAGGTCGACAAACAAAGAAAAGGTGACACAGGGTTGTCGCTTTCAATCATATATCAATAGGATTAGGAGCAGGATTTGTTTAAAACCCTGGCTGTTTTCTTTGTGTCGCCTTTGTTTTCTGTAGGAGCACGCTGGAAGGTAGACTTGCCAAAGATACCAAAGCTCTGTGCCTTAACAGATTTATGAGATGGAGAGGTAGAGTACCTGCTTGGTGGCAATTTTGATGCCGTCTGTCACAGCCTCACTTTGCGTTGGAGTCAGAGGCAGAGGCAGAGGCAGATTAGGCACAGCCTGGCAGATAAGAGAAAAGGTTAAAAGAGTGTTAAAACACACTCTTAGGATCTTATTGTCTTTTATTTACGCACGCAGCATGCCCAACACACCTTGCATTCAGAGCCTCCTCCCTCTTGGTTGTACTTGATGAGAGTCTGGTTGCCTTCATCCTCGGAGATAGGGATGGCGAACTGTTTCTTCACGCACTGACACATAAAGACAAGTAGCAGCACTGCAGAAACACAGTAAAATACAGTAAAATTGTGTTAAAATACATGTATATATTTGTTTTCTTAATAAAAGTGAGACAGCTTTAAAAGAAGGTCTTTTGACTGGTTGAGGGTGCTTGCTCCCCTATCATTAACATCCCTGGGATGCCAGTAAACAAAGCCGATATTTCCTTGTTATTCCAGTTCAGCAGTTACCATCTGGTTTTGCTTGTGAGGTTCAAGGCAGGGGCCGATCTCTTTAACTGTAGGACTGTAGACATGGTATCAACAAACCGTTTGCTTTTGATTAAGTGTCCTTAACAGAAACCACTTAGAAGGTTTGGATATAGTAAATAAGGTCACATGATACATAAGTTGAGGTTCTTTTTAAGCATCTGCACAAGCGTGTGAAATCTAGATCACAGTTCACACCAGTTCTCAAGATTGTGTAGGTGTTGAAATCATATTTTGACTCATATCCGCCCCTCTCCTGCACAACGATGGCACAATATTGCAAGGTACAATCAGCATAGTGCAAACCTAGTGTGTTTAAGTCTCTGAGATTGAACCAAAGGAGGAGACGGAAGCCCATACATCTGAGTTCGCAAACCACAACATGGTTCGCAGTTTCGCATATGTGACATGCCCCCACTTTAACTACGTTATCCACAGCTCAAACTGAATCCCCTATGGTCCAGATATAGGCATATGGTAAACACTCAGATCTGCAGCTGTGAGTAATCTCTGTAGGTTTCAGTACTCTTTCCCTAAGGTGACAATGGTGCGGGTGTAAAAGTGCAAGAAACCATGTTAGTACCTGCACTGCAAAGTTTAGAGGTAAAAGCCCAAGGGGAAGACTGGTTTCTTTTATGATTCAATCAAACTTGTTGTTTTTCTCAGTATGAGCTGAAACAATCGTGTTTGAGAGGATTTATTTATATTTATCTTAATTGATTTGTTATTTAAATAATGTTAAAAAAAAAAAAGTTACACATTCATGTTATTTAAGCACCCACTGACTTGGCTGGTTCAGCTATGTTATCTCTGTTCGCTTTACTCACACAAAAACAGAAGGAGTGCTCCCAAAATTAGTCCAATTCCAGCGGACCCCAGGTTGGTTGAGAGCAGTTCTTTGTCATTGCACATTTCTTTGTCTCCACAGTCACACACGGTCACTTCCACTGTATCCTGTCCAATCAGATTCTGTTGGTCTTGAATCACCAGGGGCACTGGGTAGGTACCATAAGGAAGTGGTTTCAGGCTAACAAGCCCAGCTTCTATCCCTAGAAAAGGATGCAAGTAAGGATAATGGAGTGTAATGTAACTCCTTTTTAAGAGAAACAATTGAGTATTTGGTTGAAGAGGAGGGTTAAAAGGGGGTTACTACCTGTGGACGGGTCTAATTTCCACCGCTCTGCCAGAGTTTTGTCATCTCCCCCCAGGGAGAAGGTGAAAGGCCCACCGTAAGGATGGATGTCAGAGTCATTGGCTTCCACCATGATCTTGTTACCCTTGTTTCCACATAGAATGGCACTTTTGAAGACCAGCTGAGGCGCATTGTCATTTATATCGTTCAGGTGGATCCGGATAGTGCATGTACCTGTGGCTGAAGGCTCACCTTGGTATACCAGAAAAGAGAGAGTACAGTTGACCAATATTATATCATATTGTTTAGCTTGTTTTGAATGAGAAGTTGCAGTAAAAAGGCTTTCCATACCATCATCAACGGCTTTGACCACAATTTGATAAATGTTAGTTGTGTTATCGACGAATGGAGACTCTCTGTCCATCTTCTTCATCGATGTGATTTCTCCTGTTGCTTCATCAATTGTCACCCAGTCAGCGGGGTCTTCTACTAGTTCAAACCTGGAGAAAGAAAAAAAAAAACAGTGGAACTGAAATCAAGGTTAAAAACAAAAACAAAACAAACAAACAAACAAAAAAAAAACTGATTGCAAAAAGACTTTAATTAGATTTAAAGTAATTTCTAATTGAATTGTATCCATTTTTTGTGTATTTTTTTCCCTTGTGTTTTTCCCTGTTTTTCTCTTCAGTTCAGTTTTTAGAGTTTCCTGTTTTATTTTGTAGGAGATAATTCTTGTATGTTGACTCTAGTCTTACTTCCTTGGTTTTCCCTCCTTTTTTGATGAGTGTTTTGTTTGTCTCATCTGTTTGTCCTCTCCTGTGCTCCAGTGTGGCTTTGGATTCCTGTTTGGACTTTTTCAAAGTAAGTTCTCTCATCTGCCTTTAAACCTTTTATCTATCTTTTCCTTTGTTTGAATTTAAACGCAGACAGAAATGTGGCTGTGTGTTTATACAGATATGAACCCGTTTTTAGTAGTGATCCTTTTTAAAAAACATTTCAAGTCTTTAAACACGGTTAAACAAAGATGAAAAGTTATGATGAAGTGGTCAGATGAATTGTGAATGGATTTTTGTGTTTGTAAAACTCAGTTAGGACTTTAAGGGTCCAGCATAGATCAGGCCCTGTCAAAATGTGGCTGCAGGTAGACACTAACCTAACTTTGTCACCCTCGGCGTCATGAACTTGTGGCTGATACAGCAACTTCCCTGGCTCTTCCTCCTCTTTCTGGTATATATCTGCTGGATCCTTATCGAACACCGGTGGGTCATTGACATCAATCACTTTGATTTCAATGTCAGCTGTATCTGGGGTGGGCTCGCTGTCTTTGCCACCATCTTTAAAATCTTTACAGACTGTTATGGGCTCCTCGTTCATCACTCCAACCTTCAGCTTTGCGATGGTAGTCTTCTCATAATCCTTTTTCTGTAAGAAACACATAAGCAGTTAGCCTGGTTCACTGTGGAAACATCAGGATTCTTTGTTAGAAAATCAGAGTTACCTTGACTAGACTGAGAATCCCATCATTACTTGTGGGGTCTGTGTCAATCTTGTAGTTTCCTTCCTCATTTCCACTCACAAAAAAGTATACAGCACGCCAGCCAGGAGTGTTAGGAGTGTCTTTATCCTCTACCTTAAGCCTCAAAATGTCTTCCTTGATGAACGCTTCTTGGACCTCACCGTGATGCTAGAATTCAAAACAGTTCCACCATTAGCAACATACATCGGTCTAGAAACAACAACGCTCATAGTCCGAGTAATGATAGCCTTGCCATCTTGTCCTTGAATGTTGGTAGATGAGTGTTTGTGTCGATGATGTTCAGTACAACGGTTCCTGTGGAGGACTGAACTGGAGTGCCGAGATCATTTGCTTTGAGAACAACTTCGTACTTCTTCACTTTCTGGATCATAAAAGGAAAATATTTCAGATGATATTATTGACAAGTATAGATTAGTTCATATTTAAATCAGCTTTTTAAATCAGTCTTACGTCATAGTCAAAACATCCGTCAACAGTGAGCCTGAACTGTTTCACGTTGATCTCACGAATACCAATCTTGGGCTCCTTTGGGGTCTGTGAAAGGATGGCGACGGTGGTCTGAGAGTTTGGCGTGTTCTCCTTATCGATGTCATTTACGTTCAGTAGCACTGACAAGTCACCTGAGAATTGTAAAATCAAAATGTGATGAAAGGGAATGGAAAAAAATGAGGAAAATGTCTACAAACATTGTTATTTTTTTCCAGTATTTTTTGGATGAGTAGTGCTCAGTGGCTGTACTCTCTCTCAGTCTTGAACAATGGTACACTTACTTGTTCGTGTGCTTTCCATTACATTTTCAGTCACCTTAGGAGGGTCAAATTTGGGCGGGTTGTCATTTTTGTCCTTTAGCTCTATATCAAAAGCAAGCTCCTTGTCTAGTTTATTTCCAGTGTGTAGATGCAAGATGTCAAACTTGATCTGTGGAAAGAAGTTGTGGTTTATAAAATCAACACATTCATTCTTTAAGTGTGTACTGCATCATTGTTTAGTTGGAAAACTCACATGGAAGGGTTTTGGATACAGCTCCCTGTCCAAAGGTCTGTTCGCATAGACGTCTCCAGTATGTGAATCGATCTCAAACACTCCAAGTGGCGGCTCATCCACACCCATTCCACTTATACGGAACTCGTGATGGTCCCCCGACATGTTGTTAAACATCTAACATTAAGATACAAACCACTTAAGTCTCACTGACACAAGGAAAACTCTTTATGCCACAATTCTTTGCACAACATGAAGTAGTTACCTGTGAAATCTTTAAAGGGTATTTTCCCTCGGCTTCCTCCTCTAATTCAATTGTGGACAAAACCCACCTTCTTTTGGAGCGCCGTAAAAGCTCCTATCAAAAGAGAACACATGTCAAACATTTACCAAGTAATTGTTCAATAAAGCAATAATTTATTTCAGAGGAAAAGCGTTTTAGCTGGGATCGGCAAGTCTAAAAATAGCACAGTTACCCGCTTGGCACGCCTTCTGTTTTCATTGTGAGACTCAACCAGGGCTGCCAACGCAACCTACGGCAACAAAGAAAGTGATGAGTGAGGCTTAGTTTTGTCACCACGAAAAACCTTTGAGTTAATTTTTAAATGAAAAGCAACTTTATATGTGCTTTTAATAACAAAAGGGTGAGTCTGTAATGTTACAGTTAAATGTCAGAAACACAAACAATAAGCTGCTGGACAATCAAGAACATCATGTCCTGAAGTGTTGTTGACATTTGCGTTTGCATTACTTTACTTTCTGTCATCATTTGTCTGACTCTCCCTCTGTTGGGTGAAGTGTTTCTTGATTCTGGGATTACAAGCGTACAGTGGTGCCCATTCATCGTATTTCTATACCCACGTATTCTGTGAAAGGCTGAGTGGAGTCAGAGTGAAGCCAGAGTTGATCACACCCCCCGGACAAACACAGGGGAAACTTTTTTTTTTTTTTTTTTTATTATTCATCAATCTTATGCCAGGCGTTCCTGCGAATTTGGAAACTTTGTATAAACTTTACGATGTTGGAATGAAATATTGAGATTTTCTCCATGGGGCGCGCTCTCGCTAACTAAATTCTGCTTTGTAATGTCGACGTAAAATGAAGTTCAAGAAAGGCCAAAGTCACTACAATACACTGGCTACTCAGTGTTGTTGTCGCCAGATCCAGTTTGAAATATAGGGTTAAAAGTATCCTTCCTTGCCTGCCCGACGTACGTTATTGCCTTGAGATTAGTTTTGACATGAGGTTCTGCCTGCAGCATGACTGAACAGCAGTTGGAGGTTATTGAATGAAAATCATGAGGGTTTGAACGTTTGGAGTGTCAATTTAATAACAATGAAGTCTGAAATACTAAAATCCAATCAACTGATCCAACTTTGTTTCTTACTTTGGCTTTTGTGGGGGTGGTGTAAGATATTATAGAAAGTATACATTACCTCGCTCCCACCCTGTGTTTCCATAATAAATGCATAAAACTGGTTTTACTTGACACCTCCCCCCTCTGCACTTGCCTGCAGCATTGAGACCTATATAGTAGCAGAAACTAGACATTCTTTACGTATGTACACTCTCTTCTGCTATTTTCAACCTTTTAAGTATCGTGACTAAAGAGGTTGTCTGATAACACTTTTTGTTAAATTACCAGCTATTCACTTTGTTTCTCGTGTTTAATATCTAGCCTGTTCAAACATCATGACATATTTTCAAATATCTTATGCGTTTAGTTACAAATGTACAAATATATATTTTTATATTTAGTAAAATAGCTGTAAACAATTTAAAATATCTTTCCTACCAACAGAAGCAGGTAAATGGTCCTCATCTCGGTCTTCTGATATCCTCTGTGAGAGTACTCCAGCGGGCTCAAAGACAGACTGTATTATAGGTAGCAGAAGACAACCCCTAATGCCTGCAGGCAGCAGGTCGACTTTGCGGTTGACAAAAGGCCGTTTGTTCATGCACAGGTATGTGCAATGTGACATATTAAATTTCAGTCATGGCTCTATTTACTGTCGCCTGTGAATTCGCTTCCAAATGAAACTTTATTTTATGAAAGTGTGGACACTAACAGGGAATTTTACCTGGTTTTTATAGTAGTGTTGAGCAACAGGCTCAGGTGTACACCCCCTCCAACTCTATGGCTCAGGTTACCATATCTTATTTATGCTTGCCCTGCATTTCAGGCAACTCATTTTAACACGGACTTCATATATATGATAAAGAAACAGAAATGACATTTTTAAACCATCTCAGTGAGTCTCCAGCACGTTTAAACCCATAAAAACAACCGGAACATACAAGGAACATGCATGTACTAAATAATGATGCCATTAATTTTTTGTGTATTTTTCTTTTGAGCTGTCTTAATGATTTGTGGTTATGGTCTGAGTCAGAAGATAAAGTTACACATCAAAAAGCTTTCATTCAAATCCTTGGTGTAGTGAGCATATCTGCGCCAAGATAAACAAAGGCGAGTGAATCAAACGGCTTTAAAACTCCCAGTCTTTGTTTTTGCCAAACTATGGACGCATGGGGCGCTGCCAAAGCTAATAAAACTTTAATCAGGTGGTACTTCAGAATGAGCAAACAGGTTTTGTTTTGTCTTGTTTGTTTATAAGTGCATTACAAGGATGAGAAAAATATGTGCCGACTGGATCCTGCAGTGACATCTGTATATTTTTATTGGTTAGAGACACAGGTAGCAAAGGAAGATTGCAGGTTGTTTCAAAATGTAATCAGAGCTGATGGCAGCAGAGAGAAGACCGGGCCTCAGATTGGACAGAAACGAGATAGTAGGAGGGTTGAGAACATGATGAAATCTGATTGGTTGAAACTGCCAAGGTAAACCCCCATGAACAGCTGATTGGAGAGGCAGGGAGAGAGAGAGATGGAGTGAGAGAGTGGAGAGTGAAAAAAATGGGCAAAGAAAGACTACTCTACTTGAACTTGGCTTTGAGCAACAACAGAGTACTTGAATTCAGAGTACTTTACACGTGAGAGGCCTTCAAAACCTCCTCAAGCCTGCAGATCCCCAACAATTTTAAGAACTGTCGTAAAACACGGAGTAAGGTGTTTTATTCTGTACTTCCTCTGCCCAAGGCTGCTCTTTTTAGTAGGGCACCACCTCAAATAATCAAAACGGGCCATCTTTGAAAGTTTTTCTTTCATTTAGTTTCAATGCGTGTGCCAAATAACCTTATTTTTTTGAGTGGTGCAGTGTCTGAGTAAAGTCTTGAATGTCTGGTATGTCACTCTTACAAAACCTGAAACATGAATACAGTCTGTTGACTTTCACACACTCACTGTGCACAGTTGTATCATTTTCACCTTACCTAATACTACAGATAGAAACCAGCATGTTTCTCTCGTTGTTTATTGTCCCATAGAGCAGCATTTAGGAGATATTTGCTGCTAGAAAGAAGGTGAAACACTAAATATAATGTTCTCACCAGGTAGTTTCCATCAAGTTGATTTGAAAATCTTCAAAAACCACAAAGGAACCACATCTGTCATGCCGTAAGATTGATCTCTTTTCTCCCTTCTATTCCATGTAATGATACATCATTGGTAGATGTTCGAGTCCTTTTCAAAAACAAACACAAACCTGCTCCACCAGTCGCTGTGTCACTCTCTTGACAGGTTGTGAGTAAAATGAAATTTATCTCTTATCAGCTCAGCAGCTGTTGTGGGCTGAAAGCAATAAAAATGAAGACAAAAGAATGAACAGGGTATCTCCTCCTTCTTGAAGTTGGCATGAGGCTAACTTGGTTTCTATAACTGCAAACTGTCATTTTTTTAGTGTCAAACAGATCGGCACTTTACTCTGATTGAGTCGAAGTTGTTTGTTTTAATGAGGAATATTTTAAAAACATGTTGAGTCAGATTAAGTGTTTTTAATTTTGTTTTTTAATTGATATTTTTAATTGATTTTCAAACCAAGGCTCAGTGTTATTTAACTTTTCTCAGTTAAAAATGCACCAAATGCTTCACTCGCTAATACTTCATGCCACCCTCGACCAGATCTTGATTTACAGTGTTCGATAAACCCTGCCACCATTTTTACGACTATGTTATTTAGCTGATGCTCATTTCTCACACATTTTGATTGCTTGAACACCTGAAGTCATTCGGCCTGCAGGCAGAAGTTTGTAACCATCATGAGTATGTGAGTTGTATAGGTTTGTGCAATTAGCTTCTGGTATGTGCAGATTTGTGATCTTCAAATGTCAACAAATCACAGCTTGTATTTTTGGCAAGTTTATCAACTCTCATGAAGATAATGATGTTTATTTGACTACAGGACCCACTTTTATGTCTCTAAGGTGTGAGGGCACTGATTCATGGGAAGGATAGAGGAGTTAGGGTGAATTCTGCCTTCTTTGAACCTTAATCCTCTGGCTACCAATTTCCCCTTAAATGACTTCTGTAGAAAATGAGTCAGAGTTACAGTAAGTAAATTAATCATATATGTGAAATCTATAAATGACAGATGAAAGCTGTCAACAGGGCGGACCTGAATAGAAGAGATTACCTATTATTGGCTTAGGTTTAAGAAAGTCATCAATTAAGCTGAGCTGAAGTTGTTTGAATTGTGAGGTGAAACCAGGGTCAAAAATGTACACACAAGTTATTCTCTGTCCTTTTCAGATATGGTTGAATTTTTTTTGTCATATTTTTAAATATGACCAAACAACACTCAATTCGGTTGAACCAAAAACATCAAATGAGATGTGCAGACGTCGTGCTATGTCTCTCTCTCAAAGCAGTTTCCCTCTAAAGGGTTTTCTCACAGATAGTAAGATTTGTGTCACAAGGTCTATGAGGAAAAAAGCAGAGTCCCACTCAGCCCATAAACTAACCACAGCAGGACTGAAAAATATACAAGCTAGAGTAATTACAGGTTAACCTGCAGAACAGGTAAAACGAGAAATCTCGATGCACAGACTGGAGCAGCTGCCAGGACATGTCAGAAGTGTACATACTTGACAGCATAAGATGTCATGTGCGGAAATTCTTTTCTTCCTACAACATATCTTACAGAGAAACGCAGTGTTGGTATGTCGCAATTCATGAGATTGAACAAGCTTGTGATATGTGACTTTGAGAATATTGTTATTACAGAATCAGGGCTTGATGCTGGCTTTTTTTTTTTTCTCCAAGGAGCGTGTATGTGTTTGAGAGTAAGATAAATGTACCCATCAGCAGACTGCTCAAAGTAGATTTTTAACATCAAGTATGAAAGAGTAAAAATTCAAAAAAAACTTACTTTAAATGTCCAAGAAAAATGTTGTTCAAAGAATATCCAAGCAAGTAAAGTTAAAAAAAAAAAAAATCAAAATAGAAACCAAACAAATAATATCTGGTCTAAAAATTAACGGATTTAGACTGGTTTTCATCCTGGCAGCTTAGACCGGTAAAGATGTCATACAAGCTGGTCCATGGTCTGGTTTCAAAGTTGACTGAGGTTTTGCTCTGTTACTCCTGCATACTGTGCTCAGCATCTTCAATCTGGCATGAATCAGATGTTGATCTTTAACCTTTCTTTATCTGGAAGACGCTGATACGTCCTCACTTTTCCTGTCCGTCTCCTCTATCTTAGCATCTGTGTCACTTAATGTTTCGCAACCTGTCACACTTTTTTGTTTGCTTTTTTTAAAGCACAGCTTAAGAGATAGCGGTGTACATCTCTCTCTTTCTGATCAAATCGATAATTGGGCGCTGAGTAATTTTTTTCTCTGATATGACTAATAATAATAATAATAATAATAATCATTATTATTATTATTATTATTATTATTATTATTATTATTATTATTATTATTATTATTATTAATAATAATAATAATAATAATAATAATAATAATAATAATAATAATAACAATAATCTGACGTCACCATGTTGAATGACACAGGTCTTGAATGTTGTAATCATGCATGAAATTCCCACCATCATATTATTGTTTTCTACGACCAACAGCGATAACTTGAAGAGCTGTACATGAAGCCGGTTTGAGTTTGTTTTATGAATTTAATTATTGGACGACAACTTTTTCGTCGTTGAAAGGAAAGGAGAAGAAAGTATGCAATCCTGTGAGCCATTGCAACACCAACTCAGGAGAAAAACTCTTGAAAAGATAAGCTGTCAATAGTGAGGTGTAACGATATTATAAAATTCCCGTTCTTGAAAAATCTCCATTCAACATGATTACGGGCACTTCTACTCCTCGCGTCATTTCTTGTCTTTGGTACGTGACCAACAAGGGAAGTTTCACACCCATCATTTCGATTTGGACTATACTGTCCCTCAAAGTGTTCCAACATACTAAACAGTATCCATTCTCCAGAGGGTGTGAAACACTCACACTGTAGAAACCCACTCCTGAGTGACATATGTCTCCTCCTGTTCTAACCTGTTGGGAACTTTTCATGGGAATTGTGTGAAACGCCTTCCGATCATCAGTTGCAGTGGAAATATTGCCCCAAGTTAAAATGAGCGCAAGAGCATCATAGAGTTGTTGAAAGACAGATGGGAAAACTGTTTTTACAGCCAATTTGTCAAGCCCTTCCTATCTGGTTCACCGATCTGAAAGCGAAAAACCGGAAGACAACCAAGACCCAATGAGAGAGAGCTGGACAATAAAAGAGAAACATTTAATTGAACTCTTTTAAATGTCTCTTCAATTCAGTTTTATTTTATGATACTCCTTGAATGATTTTTAAAAGGGCTGGAGACACACATCATGATCGACACTTTCAAAACAGTTTGTTTTGACGCCCAAAAGTCGACTCAACCATCCTTCCACTTCTTTCATCGTGAACCATCCACACCCTCGCGTCCACACGCCCTCGTCATAACTCACCAAAACGACGCTCATTACAAACACACACACGCACACAAGAAACAATAATCTTCTTAAGCTGAACCACACAAGCTACGCGGGGTCACATTGATCCAACACATGTCACTTGTAGGTGAGGTGTAACTTGGCATTTAGTCCTTTATCCTGCATAGTTCGTTAATGCAACTCTTTGTAGCCACGTAACTGAAAACACACAATCAGGTCACTCACGAGAACAAAAGAGCATGCAGGTATAAACACAGGTCCATCCATGATACTGTACATAGTTAGCACATGCACATGGCAATACAGTCATGATAACTTCCAACAACAGAATAACAATCTCATCTAACTCATCTAAAAAAGAAAAACATCAAGACGTATTAATCTTGCAATTATCTCTGAGTACTTGACTAGACTGGATCGCTGTTTAAGCCCTGCAGTCAAGAACCTTCAGTCTGATGTCTTCATTTAAATTATATTCAGCCATAAGTCAACATATGGAGCAGGAGCTGTGTCATGTGGGAGATGGATTTGGTATTAATCAATCTTAAAATTCGAAAAAATCAAAAGGATTATTTTAAGATTTTAAGTGCAGATTGTCCTTCAATTTTCAGACTCCGACTCTTTTTGGTTCCTTTCACTTGAGTCTCGCCTAAAAAGACTGTAGAGCTGAGATGCACCGCAGCCTTCACCTGTGCTCCGGAGTGCAAAAACAAGCCTGAAAGAGGTTTCTCTGCGGCAGTACGAAGAATCAAACTTGAAGTGACATTATTTAACCTCTGCAATAACCGATGTGTGGATGTAAAAGGGATGACTCATGCTCATGAATGTCCCTATTGCTAAGATTCTCAATAGCTACATTTAACAGAGCACTTAACAGGTATTAGGAAAGATTTTCTGGAAACATTCAAAAGAAAAAAAATGACAGCCAGGTCGACCATGCTAGGGTTTCCCTCCGAAAGAGGAAATAGAGTGACAATGATTTCAGACACGTCTCGCCTTCTCCATTTTCTCTACTGTCAGTAAAGTTCAGTCTCTAACAAGATTTAGTCCCAAGGCATTTGTCCTCCTCATCTTCCTCCTCTGTTTCTTCATCCCTAGTATGAGGGACGGAGGTGAGCAGCAGGGTGTCCGCATGGACTTCTTCATCGTCGGACTGGATCACGGGTGTGTCGACTCCACCCTCGCTGGTGTCGCTGGAGCCGGACGATGTGGAGGACAGGCGAGATTTGGAGCCCTGTTGCACATCATGTTGCCGTTTCAAAGGTGCACGTTCTCTGTACATGACCTCTGCCTCTTCATCCTCCTCCTCCTCTTCATCTTCTTCATCTTCTCCCTCTGAAAGTACTTATTATGTTAGTAGGATGCAACTTTTAAATACTAGTTTAAACAAAGTAGGTTACTCAATGTATGTATATGCTTACATATTATATTTATGTGTGCTTATATAAACATATCCATGCTAAAATGACTGACTAACACAATAATGGTCAGGGTCAACAGCAATCTAATTCAGCAACAGAAGATCCAACCTATCCATTTATTAAAAATTGATCAAGAAATGTTTTTTTTTTTTAAATCCTTTAATGCCTGAAACCACAAATTATGGCCAGAAAATTGAATTTTTTGGCACTGAAATGTTTTGATATTTTTGTTTGCCAAAAAAATCAAAATGTCCTTAAAATTTAACAAATATATTAATTTATCTCGTTTGATACATTTAATTTAATTTAAATTTAAATTTGATTTAATTTAATTTAATTTAGATTTTTAATTTAATTTAATTTAATTTAATTTTAATTAGATGTTTTTGGAAAAACTGATAAACCACAAGAGGACATTTTTATCATTTATCAGACTGTATTCAGGTGTTTTTCTTTAAAGTAATTTGTTGATCATATTGATTTGATAGAAGTTTCATAAAAGTATGTATCAAATATGATACAAAAGGCATTAAAGGGTTAGATAAATACATGTGTCAGTATGCCCAACTGCAATTGTTGCACCTGGTAGTGGAGATGCCAGAGATCCTTCATCCACACTAGAGCCTGAATTGAGGAACACATCGAGGGCCTCCTGGTCAGAGATGTCCATCAGGTCCATCTGCTCTAAAACATCCACGTTCACCTCCATGGAAGAGATACTTCCCATGGGGGCTGCACAGAAACAGAACAGCAAACAGAAGCATTACACAATGTGTTAATCTTAACATACAAAGCCATGTAAGTATAAATCTAAGACAACTACGTACGTTTCCTGCAGTCGATCTGCAGGTGAGAGGAGGGCAGGTAGTTCTCCATGTCATGCTGGTAGACCTCCTCAAAAAAGCGCTGTCTCTCTCTCATCTTCAGGTGCTGAGCCGAATCATTACGCAACAGTCTCTGAGAGTTATCTGTCTCTGCTGAACACAAGATGCACACGGGAAACACAAAATCACTTTTCACTTCCACTTTCTTCTAATTTAGTTTCTCTTAGAGTTAAATCATCATTTAAAAAGGCAAAACTGGAGTTATTTCCTTATTCTTAACAGTGCAGGGATAGGAATAATCCATCCTTTATTTTTATGATGATAACAAGGATGAAGTTGATGATGATGATGATGATGAACATGTAACTTGACTTGCATCGCCTTAGCTCCATTTGTAGCACTGAGACATTTCCATTAAGACTATTCAGGGATCCTCAATGTAATTTTGATCTTATTCGCCTTTATTGTCATTTTACTGTCAGAGTTATTTGCGTGATTAACTTCCCCCTCCACGCACACATATTAAGCCAGCCATGAACTAAACTGTTGCCAGATTTTGCTTTACCAAACCCAACGCTTTGAAAGCTTATCTCCTCTTAATTTACGACAAAAAGGCATGTGTAGTCAGCTCCCATGATTGTTTTTTTGTTTGTGGTTGCCGAGCCTTAAATGAATATTAATCACCCGTCAAAAGCTGTCAGTGTTTTATGAGTTGATCACCAAGGAGAAAAATAAATTATCCAGCCTCTGACATGGGAAACGCTTTGGTTATCTAATAATAAGAATATGAATAAGAATAACTTGATTGATCCTCGAAGGGAAATTAAGTTGTCTGTCATCTCATTTGTCATGTCTCTAAAAGTTATCTACTATTCACGGAAGAGTTGTAAAGTCTGAAAGTGTTTGAACCAGTATATTCGGGTTTAAAAAGAGTCTCTGCACATTTGTTTTCTAAAATATTTTCTCTTTTTATTTGTCACTCCAGTTATCATCACACATTTCTTTGAGCTTTGTTACTTCTCTCAAGACAAAGACGAAGTTTCACTGTGTTGAAAGTCTGACCTAATTCAATGCATCCAAGTTGTCAAAATGCTCTGCGCCGTTTTCAGCTGTGATTTGTTAATTTCAGCTTCAGTTGGGGGTCCAGAAAAGGGAGTGTAGCTTTCGCAAACCACAAAATCCCAAAGGAAACCTAAACCAGTAATATGTGATGCTACTATGATATTTCTTTTTGTTTCATTGCATGAATAAGAAAAACATGAGAGCATCTGCCCTTAGGTTTACCTCCAGCATCAACCTCTGCCATGCTGACCAGCTGTGGTTGTGTAACCATGGCGCACACTCTGCAGCACACATTGTGCTTTCCCCCATTGGGTTCCCTGAACTGACACTTTGACTCATGTCACTAGAGTTTCAGTGTTTGTGTGTGTTTATGTGCATGTGTGCATGTTTGAATCTGAGCACAGAAACTACAGTGCCATGTATTTTTGAACATCGATCTATCTATGCATCCTTTAAGTTTATGCTCTGATATGTGTGACATGCACATTAAACATGCATGGCTAACATGTTAGCATGAAGCCAGCAGATAGATCCAACAAGCACAGTAAGAACATTCCCGAAACTTCACCAGTGTGTGTCAGACTGTCTCAGAGCTGCTCTTCTTTTGTGTAACAAAAACACGTCTCAGCCAACTGCCTCTTCCTCTTCAGACAGTTCTGTCTCTGGAGACGCAGCCAGTCACTCTGTCACAGCCCTGAGGGTGTGAGTGTCCACTCTCATGCGAAACTGACAGGCCTTTATACCGTCATACAGGCTGTCTGTGGAGGCAGATAACGTCTCAGGGGTTCAGAGTGTCTTTGGCTGGTATTTTAGTAGTTCTGGACAACACTTCATGAACAAACCATTCAATGAGTGTTAAGAGTTGAATACTACTAAGACAAATTTACCAAAAAGTTTGATCTAACCTTTATTTTTCAAGAAATCTAAGATACATGTTTAAAAAAAAAACAAAAAAATTCCTGATCTTTAAAAACTGCTAAACTTACATTTATTATTTAATTATTGTAGGAGGGCTGTGGTAAAAGTAGAGTTAAAAACATGTAAAATTCATAGCCCACAATTTCAGATTATATGTAATGGAGTTTTATTACTCAGTGCCCTAACAAAGCCATCCATGACGTCCTTGTGACTCTTTTCTTACAATTATTTGGTGCGATAACGGTGAATCATAATGTTATTAGAGGAAAACTCACCCAATAATGATCTGTCTGTCATAATTCAGCTCATGGACATCATGACAAAAAAAAAAAGATCCCCCTTTCCCAAACACGAGCTGCAACATATGCCATAACACCTGCATCTGCCATTCAAATAATGGGTCAAATATGAAAAACTCAAACACACAATTATGTTTTCTATCATGACAGTTATTTTGGTAACACTTTACAATCACCATAATTTATAAATGGTAAATAGATAGTTTATTCATGTTTAATCATCATTTAAAAACACCATATAGACTAATTATAAATGGCAAATAGATAGTTTATTAATGTAAGTTAATAGTTACTTTAGCATGAACAAGCAATGAAATTATGATTAGTAATTTTTGTTAAATATTAATGGACTATTTATTAAAGGTTTATATAGGGTTTAAATATTGGTTGTTAAACATCTAGATTAAAATGTGTGTCAGTAGCACTTTGTAAATGGTTAATATTTGGTTTTTAAACCATCTATAAACATTACTTAGATGATTTTTGTGAAGTTGCAACTGATGTTTGTAACACTTTGTAAATGATCAATAAGTGGTTTATAAACCACCTATTAACATTACTTAGATGGTTACTGTAAAGTTAGGGTTAGGTTTTTAAAACTGTAAAATTTACAATTCATTAATGGTCTATATGCTATTTATAAATGATGATTAAACATTAATAAATTACCATTTATGAGTTATGGTTATTGTAAAGTGTTACCATTAGTTCTTATCTTTATACATTACATTGCAAATGTTCATTTTTCCATTTTAATTACTTATTTAATACCAAAAAAAAAAGGTCACTTACACAACAGTCATGTAACCTGCCACAGCTGTGACTGTCTAGTTCAAAATGGTCACAGGAATTCGCTTCAACTGTAATGACCAGAGGGGTCTGATGTTACATCGATGACAAATGAAAGCTTCGGGGCATGGCAGTAATTCTATGGCTTCATCAGTTGTGGATTGGCACTCACTGATGCATCAGTTCCATAATGCATAATGATATGTTATCACCTGTCACAGCAGTATTTTGTCTTTATGGTTCACAACAGGAGGAGACATAGGTGTGTTAACTTTATACTGTCGTAAATGTTTCAGCCTGGGACGATCACATAAGATGTTATATGTCGCAAAAGCCTACATCTGATGAGGCGTCTGATAATAAAGTTACACTACACTACTTATATAAATAGTTTAGCTGACCTTATAGGGGTTTCTCTCTTTCCTCTGATTTCACCATTCAAGTCAAGATAACAGTGGACATACCCAACCCACATACACGCACCCGTTCAACTGCACATCTCCATCTGTCTGCTCCTACGTGGGAGAAAAGCTTGTATGTAAAAGCCTGACTCATCCACATAACCTCTAACTTTTCTTCCACCCTTCTGTAGAAGACGTGTAGGAGGCCTCCATGCAAATCAGCTAAAGTTACATTAAAACCAAGCTTCTGAAGAGACCCAGATGCGGTGCAGAACCCCTACAGGGGCAGCCCCCTGCTTCTAACAGAGGTTATTGGCTGTTAACTATCCTTATCGGTCTGCATGGTCTGTGAGTTTTTCCCACTTTTAATCTCAGATTTGAGGTTATTTATTTGCACTTGACACAGAAGAAAGTTTGAGTCTATCAGGAGTCAGAGAAGCAAAAAACAGTGAGAAAATTAACTTTAGATCAGCTATCGTCAAAGAACCAGAAATAAATCATGAGTTAAGTTTTCAGAATGCTGTACTCTCATGTAGCCTATATAACACAGACCACATGCAAAGACTGTAGGAGTGTCGAGGAACAAAGACAGGCTGTTATGACTGACTGTTGTTGTGTTATGAAAGTGTTTGCTTCAGGATATCAAGGGGCACAGCTTATGAAAGAGGAGAACAACAAATACGCAACAACTTTAAAGAATAAAATCATAAAAAGACAAGAAAAACATGTAATTGTTAGACTTTGGCTGTGTATTGATGACTGATATCACTTTAAAAAACCTTGGACCTAAGACTAGCACTAGTGGTCATATTGTGTTTAAAAAAAAAGTTGTAAAGTCATGATATTTAAGAATAAAGTTATCTAGTTATGATAACAAAGTCGTGAGAAGGTTGGAGTTTGGTTTTACAGTGAGCAGCCAGCTGCCCATGCCAAAATAAGGATCATGAAGATTCTTAATAACTTGTTCCTAATGTTTTGGCACATCATCAATTATTGACATAATTATTTATGACTTTGTTCCATGTGAAAAATTACTCTGAAGAATGTGTAAATCTAAAAAAAAAAAAAAAAATAAGTCTTAAAAACAAAATTTAAGATTAAAAAAAAGGTTTTCTCTAATGTGGCTTGAATACTCTTTCTTTTATACTTCTTTTTAACTCTTTTGTTTCTAAACAAAATTTTTTCTTGTGTTTTCTGGACCTTTATTATTTCTTGTAATTTTCTGGATAATTATTACATCTCTTGATGTTTTTATTATTATTATTATTATTATTATTATTATTATTGTTATTATTATTATTATTATTATTATTATTATTATTATTATTATTATTATCATTATTATTATCATTATCATTATCATTATCATTATTGATACACAGACAGGCTGATGAAGAAAAGACTTCAAATCCGACTAAAACAGAAGAAAAACATCACAGACTGTTATATTTCCAAAGCAGTCCTCTAAATCTCTTTCACACTTGTTATCTGTGACAGGACCTTTGCCCCCTACCCAGAAACCCCCGCTCCATCTTAGCCCGCTCTGAACCATAATTACCCTGGGCTTACTGTTACATAATGGTGGTACAATCCTTCAACTTGCACACCCAACAACAGCAGACTCCTACTGTACTGGAGCGCATGACAGCACAGCTTACAGGCTTGTGTGTGTGTGTGTACAGGAATGTAGGCTGCTTGTGTTGGCTAGGAAAGGAAGAAAGGGGAAAGGTAGAGGGAAAGACACAATAAAGAAAAGGAGGAAAATGATCAGGGAAAGAGAAGTGTGTTGTTATGTAACATGAGCCTGCTTTGCATTATTTCTGCTATGAAGTATCTGTGGAGTCAGTGATTTGAGGTAAAAGGGCTTTGCAGGGTCTGCTTGCCTCAGCGACAAATACACAAGTGTAGTGATGCCGTGCAGTTTCAGTCCAATTGTTGTCTGTTTAGAAAAATAAAAAAAATACTCCACAGGGTTGGAAACTGCAGGAAAACACCTATTTTTTCTTCTTTTTTAATCTTCTTTGTTGATTTCATTCCTTTCATTAATCCTGACTCTTTTTTGGCACTTTGCTTTCAGGCTCTTTTCATATGAAAGGCCATAACAACAGATTTCAATGAGGTGTGTTTGTGTGTGTGTGTGTCAGAGGGGGTGGGGTTGTGTGGTGCAGGGCCAGGGGTGACAGCTGAGCTGAATCACATGATTTTTTTTTTCATCTGTCTGATTATTCTTTAGGCGTCTGATCCCTTTGCCACTTTCACAGCTTCGCTTTGCTTTCTTTAATCCACACTTTGTGTTTCCTTCTGGATTGAAACGCAGAAAACAACTCAACAATCATATCATTATTTGTGTTTTTTTCTGCTCCAGAATGCAATGTGCAATTATCTTTCCTCCACTGCTTCCTCTCCATGTGCTCTATCGGCATTTTTGCCATGACGGGAACATCAGACACATGCGCCGTTGGATTGCTCTGTGTCATGCAAGTGGTGCAGTCATACATCAAGGCTCCTGGGAAGTGTACTGGAAGCTGGGAACAAATGTTCCTATTGAGCCAAAGAGTCACATGGTGAGGCGTTCAATCCCCATGAGGAAGGCAGAAAGAAATCCCATGATCATCTTTCTGTTCTCAGAGGGGCCGGGTGTTTGTGTGTGAGAAAGTGGGCTAGCATACACCGCATGGACGGTCAGATTTGACAGCCCATCTATCTCAAACCCCTCCCCGCCGCCTCTCTTACAGTTCCTCGCCGCCCCCCCCCCCCCTTCTCAGGATGTGATGATGGTGTCACCCACCTCGCAGTCGAAAACACTCATCATTTTTAGGTTGTCCTGCTTGTATTTACCGGGCCAATCTCTCTCCACTGCTGCCCCTCGTAGCCACGGCAGCCCGTCAAGCATAAATCATTTATGAGTGAGATCACTGCACCACAACAGCCACCTCCCCCCACATCCATAAACACACCGCCATGTAGTAGAAAACAAACCCAGACAGGTCATCTATGACGCCACAACTTGAACCACTGCCATTGTCGTGGAGTTGTGCTGCATATACTCCACAACACATCCTTCAGATTAAGCCTGGATCTGTTACATGATGTCACTCTCATCTCCAGCTTCACATGACTCTCATGCTGCGATTACATCTTGAACCATGCCTGACCACCATCTCCATAAGTGTCTGATCTGATAGTGTATCCCCTGGACATTACCCTCCCAAAAGCCATTAAGGCTCCTCACTCAGGGCTAAATGCAAACATAACCCCCCCAGGTCAGTCATAGAGGGCTTTTTTTCACTTCCATAGATCTAATATGTAGTGCTCTGTCTTTGCTACAAAACCCCTGCACATTCACTAATAGAGCAGTGAGTAGTTATTTGACACAGAAATGCCAGAACAGCTCATTTGAGGTCATTAGTTCGATTTAAAAATTCAAGACGCTGGTCCCTTTTGGCAGCAGGTAGCAGTGAGTTGTTCCTGTTTCTATTTTAAGACATTCTCCAACTAGCTTAGTCAGACCCTGAGAAGTAGTTGTTATCCTTTCACTGTGATTAAACCTCATCTGCATCAGCAGTGCCGTACCTCCGACTGCGCTGTCAGGCTAATTTAGTTAAGGAGATATGCCCCCCTGGCTGCTTTTATTACTTTAAACAATGAGATTTTTGACCAGATTTTTTATGAGCAAGGATGCGTAATTTGAGATTTTGAAGTGAGTAATGATTTAATGAATCCTTTGGGTGCACTGGCCAATAAAAGTTATGCAACAGCCATGCAGCACCTTCTATATTGCACATGACATGAAGTAGAGCTCACACTGAGGTTTCCTCTTATCAAAGAGCTTACTAATGCTCAGGGTGCTTCTGAGGTTATGAGTTATGATTATGCTGCACCACACACTGATTTAAATTAAACTCTTATCCTCAGAGACTACACGATAAATCTGAATGAAATATCAGCACAGAGATGATACAGTTTAGAGTTAAATTACTACAACGATAAAAAGTAAATTAAAAAGTTACTTCACACTTCTTCTTCATCACCTACATTTCTGTCTACTTACATTCCAGACGCTTGTTGTGGTTGGTTGACCCAGTAGATGACATGATCCAGAAGATGTGGGTCTAGCTGAAGAGTGTTTCGCCTCTGATTGTGTGTTGGTTGTTCTTGTCCCCCTCCTGTCAAGGCTCCAGGACAGGATGCTGGTGTTTGCAGGATCTGGTCATCTAGTCATCTCTTTACTTTTGCATCAAGGCTACCAAGCATAGTACAGTCTCATCACACACTAACCTCTCCCCCTCCTCTCTTCTCTGTCTTTTTTGCTGTGTTCGCCGTCTCCCTCCCCCCTGTTTGATCGCCTTTGCTGTTCTTTCTAGGTTTTTCCTCTCACTGCTTCACACTTTCATCTTGGCTGCCTCCCCGTGTCCCAAACACACACACACATGCACACACACTCAGGCAAATGCACAGACACGCGCGCTCTCTGTCAGACTGGCTCAGTGAGGTTGTAAGGAGCTGTGCAGCTTAGGGACTAGAGGGGGGGAGAGTGATAGTGGGCTACAGCATTGTGGCCTGTACCAACTGGTGACAGGGAGGGGGTCAACAGGATCAGAAGGAGTATTTTACATAATATACAGGAATATACCAGCTTTAAACCATCCCTTCTCAAACAGCTTTATACTTATTTATGTAACTAATTTATTTATTCACTTTGTTGTCAGATGAAAGCTTTAGAAGTAAACCGAGAGGAGGGAAGTTGCACTGCGTGTAAATAAATCACGACCTCTTCAGAGCAACAGAAAAAACCCTTTAATTCACACGATCGCTGCACCGCATATCCTATAGGGGAAAATCTATGTGAATCACAGAGAAATGTTTAGTCATGTGCTGTCACGGTAACTGATTGGATTTTTTTCCCTCACTTTTTTTCCAGAATAAGATTTTATACCGTTAAAATAACAGTTTGGAGCGCTAATCGTCAAAGCACTACCTACTCCCCACATTTCTTGTCTCCTTTTCCCATCCAATAAAGACACAAATGCCTAAAAATATAACTAAAAAAGCTTACTTGGAGATGATCCTGGTGGAAAACATTTCCAAAAAGCAGAAAAAAAAAACATGAAGTCTCTTAGATTCTGCAGAAAAATGTAAATCCTGTTGGGACATGATCCGAGTTTGTTATCAGAAGATTTTTATTATCAGTATGTCTGCAAACCCTTCAAGTGGTTTTGGCTGCAGGCGGTGAAACAGTCCATGTGCAGAGCTGTTATCAATCCTGTTACCTGCAGAAAGTCATCGTACGATTCATCAGCTTTTATTAGTCATCAAAAATCTGATAGATCTGTCAGTGCAGCTACACTCTTGGATCTTGTGTTGTAACACCAACTTGTACATACAGCTGCTGTACTTTACACACTGACTGAAAATTAAGTTTTTGCTGGTAAACAACAAAAACAAGGAATCACCAAAAGTTCCCATTGTTAAAATAGCATACAGACAATAGAAAAGAATAACATTATAACATTTGATCCCTCAGGATATCTTAGGGTTATTTTGCAGTGATAATCCATCCACACATCTATTTTCTTCCACTTGTTCAGGGGTGTCTCTTGGAGGCAGCTCCCATAACTCTTCCCACACATCGTCCAGCTCCACCTGGCCAGGTGGGTTGTTCAATCTTGCGAGTGAGCTCTCCGTCAACCCCAAGGCCATCTTCCCTTGGATGTGCCTCAAAAACATTTAAAGACTGGGTATAATGCTTTTCCACATTCACAAGAAAATGCAAAAGAGACAGCAGATAAAAGAAGGTGTTTCAGACAGAGGCTGCAATGGCAGTATTAAATACAGCAGTGGGAGAAACTCAGGGCTTTTTTTAAAAGTATTTTTTGGGTGATTTTTGTCTTTTATTGATAGGATAGAGTGAAATGTGGGGCAATGGAGAGGATGGAAGACATGCAGCACATGGACTGGATTTGAACCCACGACCATTGCGGGGAACATGGTCCCCAATCATGGAGTGCACTAACCCACTCGGCCATCTGCGTGCCTCTTGAATCACAAAGCTTTTTAAAAATCTGTTAATCATGTTTCAGCGATCTTGTGTTTTTTGCCATTACGATAACCGATGACTGAAGGTAAGTGTTTGGGACGTAGATTAGCTGGTTAATCAAAAGCTTTGTTTTCAGCTTCAGTTCCCCCCTTTGTCACCGTGGTCAAGCACAATATCTGCAATACGGCTGACACAGCACCAACCGACCGTAAATCTCAGAATCCATTTCACCCCCACACATAAACAAGACCCTGAGCTCCTCCACTTGGCGCAGTAACTCACTCTCTATACCAACAGGGAACGAGCCACTGTTACCGTGGTCTGCCTCTTCACAGGCACTGTCCCAGACCTCCACACAACGTTGATACTTTATGTAATTCTGTTAGTACATAAAACATTCAATACAAACAAGGAAAAATCTGTGAATGAAACGTTAAACGGGGATGCCAGCTAGCTGATCCAACTCCATTTGACAGCTTTGCTCCTGTCTTCCCCTGTGTGAGCAAGACTAACAGCCACAGATCAGATCGTGTGATGATGATGATGAGATTGCGATGTTTTCGTCAATAATTGGTAATAGCAAACTTTTAACTAGTGGTTTTGGAGTATCAACAAATGGATTTAGACTTCTCCTGAAGTGGACATTAATGTTTTCATCAAGTTCCTCTCTTGGTGGTGGAGGGGCTAATCTTCCAATCAACTAACGCTGGGATTTTACTTGCTCCACTTCAGTTCTTCAAGGCTTTTTCATCACACTGTTTGTGTCTCTTAAATCACTTCAAAACTTTGTGACAAAGCTCTGCATTGCAGCCCTCTTGATAAATTAAAACTCTCAAAGCCGAGCTCTTATCACAAAAGACTATTAAATAGCTGCACAAACTAAACTGTAATTTCCCTGCAGAGTATATGAAACCGTTAGAGTTCCTTTTATGTGTTTACAAATCACTCTTTATTTATTAATCAATCAGAAACAGGCTTCAAAGTGTTTAAGCTGTGAAGGATCCATTTCACTTGTAAAAATTCTTCTCCCTCGTTGTTTTGTTTGTTTGTCTTGTTGGTTCTTTCTGTCTGAGTGAAAGTTTGATCGCATTGCTTCAGGAAAAAGAACAGCTGAGCAACCTCACAGATTACCGACTCTTGCGTCTGAGACTTGACAGCTAATTAAAAGGTGAGAGACCAACTGCCCTTCATTAGTGACTCGATAACATCTGGGCTTGAAAGCTTCTTAGAAAGCACATCATTAAATATGGATTTGTAGCCGCAGACGGTCCCGGATCCATTCTCCGAAAACACTGGTGGAGATTTTTTGCTGTGAGTTTAAATTATTCATTCTTTTTGTGGTGTTCTCAAAGCTCCTGTGAGAGTTTTTTTTTAACATCCATGAAATTGGATGGAGTTCATATTGATAACTTCTGATGATACACAAAAGCAAACAAAACCATCAGAGACATGATCAATGACTTTTATTCTGTTATGTTTAGTACATGAAGTGAGAGGGGCAGGCGTACATGGAGCCACTGAAAACATTTTTTTTTCCATTTAATATTCACTAGGAAGCGATACCATTGAGTGTCAAAAGCAGCAGGATGATCTCTTTTTTTTTAATATTTTTGGGCAATTTTAGCCTTTTATTGACAGAGTCAAATTTTTGGACATGGTGAGAGAGGGGAGGACATGCAGCACGTGGTTGGGGCTGGATTTGAGCCTGCATCCGCTGCGGGACTGTGATTCCCATTGGGCATACTAACCCACTCGACCAACCTTGCACCCCTGTGGGATGAGCTTTTTTTGTTAGAAGACATAACTTAAACATGTAGAGGACAAAATAAAAGAAGACTCGCTAAAATTTGCACAAACTAAAAGTTCCTGACAGGAGCTTTAAATAGTTAACACCTATTTTGAAACAATCTGTGGTGATAAATTTTCATTCATTAATTATTTTTCCTTTATTTATTCATTTCTTTCAACATATTTTTTAATCAAAAGTGCATTTATATGAATCTGTAGACATGTTTATTTAGTTTGCATTTTTTAACCATTTATTGCCTTTTGTATCATATTTGAAACATACTTTTATGATTCTTCTATCAATCAATATAATCAACAAATTACTAGAAATACACCTTAATACAGTCCGATTAATGACAAAAATGTCCTTTTGTGGTTTATCAATTTCCAAAAACATCTTATGTGTCAAACTAAATAAATAGACATATTTGATAAATTTTAAGGACATTTAAATTTTTTTGTGTTTTCAGTAATAAGTGAAATAAACATTTCAGCTCCCAAAAAATTTGAATTTTCTGGCCATAACTTGTAGTTTTAGGCATTAAAGGGTTAAATATAATATAAATTTCACAAAATGAATATGAAAGTGCATGTTAGGATGCCACTGAAAAAAAAAAATTCTGCCAATCGAAACATTTCTCTAAACATATAATTCAGTCATGAGCTGCTGTTTCCCAAAACCAACTGGTTATTTGTCTGGCCTTGGAAAAAGGGGTTTCTTATTGCAAGCACGAACTCACAGGCACGCACACTAAAGCCAGCATTTAAAACACACATAATCTCACAAGAACCCTTAGTGTAGCAAATGCACCTGCTAAATGTCACACATGGGGGGTTAATAGGCACTTAGCATCGTGGGCTATTGCAGGTCCTGACTCCCCCTTCCCTAATAAGAGGCTTCTAACAGCCAATTACATCACACTTCAGCTGGAGGAGGCTGCCTCAGTCTAACCACTAATGCCATGAAAAACTTTCTACAGACGGCAGAAGAACACAGGGACGTATAATACAATGTGATTTACAGCCTGTGCTGCTTCCTTCACACTACTGTGGGCACTTACAAACCCTGAGACGGATATTCTCCTCCAACCAAACACTTTGATTTACATCTTACATTTTTTCACAGGGAACAAAAAAAGTCAAGTGAATCTTTTTGTATTTTTGAGTATTGATATTTCTTAAAGATGTCAGAGATTTGTTATTGTTTTTTTAGTCATGGCTCACAGAAGTACAGAGCACCTTCCTTTCCCTGAATAATGACATAACCTTAAAGGATCCTCACTGTAGCCTCATTGTTGGGTTAATACTAACATCTGCTGGAGAAGGTTGTGTATTGCAGTTTGACTCAGAAAAGACCTGCTGTGTGACGTTATGTGCAAGAGGTGGGATTCCTCAAATGAACTGTGTAGGTTCAGTTTTTTCTGTTCTGTGAAAAGACTTCTCAATTCCTGTAAGATAAAATAATATAAAGTTAAGTTAAATAAGATCTCTTATGATGGCAGCTCACGAAAAGAGAACAATATAATAAGTAATCAGAAAAGATTTTTAAAAATGATAAAAATATAAATAAAAAATAAGAAGAATGAACTCCATAAACTATTTACTCTAATAAACATTATGGGAATCAACACATTATCAAGATTATTGTCTTAAAAATTAATGTTACTAAAAGAGTAGGAATATTTAAGATGAAGCTGCAGAAGCTAGCTCCAATTTGCATGATAATGGAAAGAAAGAAAGAAAGAAAGAAAGATTAAAAGAAAATTTGAATTTCCTCTCATTATTGAGGCTGCTTTAATGACATTTTTTTTCCTTCTATACATAAACCCAACACACATGATTAAAAACTTGCTTTTGGGGTTTCAAATACTCTAGAGCTGAATTCATTCAGGTGAACAAAAGGGGATTTCCAGTAACTGTTAGACTGTGTAATCATGTGTGAGTTTGTGTGTGTGTGTGAGTGTGTGTATGTATGTATATGTGTGTTGTGCCTGTTGCTCTTTCAGCACTATCAGTGCTGGCTTCCTCTTTGAAACTGTGTTGTCTCAGTCCTCTGCTGCACAGTCTCTGATGTGGCTTGTGAGTCACACTGTGGTAAATATACACATTTTGCGCATGCACATAAGCATGTGCACTCACACATAAGGACAGGCTCTGGCACATGTATGCACAGCTTGCACATACACAACTACACACATCCACTACAGCCAGTATTCCCTTCACCTTTACAGTACACTATAGTTATTCACTACACCATATGCCTACCAGCATAAGCTGCTGGATGTTCCTGTCTGAGAAACGCACACAGCCTTGGCGACAGATGGGAAAAAAGTTCTGCACATTACATCTTCACAGCCGCTCCAGACATTAAAGTCAGAGCCCTCAAACTTTATTAAAAATATCACATTGTGCTGTATGGGGATATTCTGGGGGTCACCATGGCAACAGACATCCAAGTGCCAAATGCACAAATGTGCACACCTGCTTGCCAGTGTTCACAGTTGTGCCTCTGAGCCTCCCTGTTAGACAGTATGTAGGTGCTGTTTGCTAAATGTGGCAGGACGGAGAGGCGACAGCAGCAATGTCTTTGTTCTCAGAGAGAGGAGCATGCGGCTCTGTCAAGGTGTTAATTAGCCATTGTGAGACAAGAAAGTTGTTAGGATTGTTCTTGCTTCTGCTGTGAGATGCACAGCCTTTTGTGTGAAATGGAGCTTTGTCTTGCCAGACTTTGTAAAGGATATGACTCAGTGAGTGACGGCTCCATGGAAAGTGGCAGGGCTTCACAAATACAACTACCACACTGGATACGCTCCTTTTACAGTAAACCTCACCTGTCATGTGATGAAAAGTTTCTCCCAGCCTCCCAGCTCGGTATAATATCAAACTTGGGAGTTGTGCTTTGTCCTTTTGCTGCTGTGGATGTGCATCTTGTCATTTCAACTTGGCTCCAAAAGTAACTCCGTTTGAAGTCGTGAATCCCTGTTGATGAGCTGTAAGAGCGTGTGCTCTCTGAGAGATCAGTTTGGGGTTAACATGATGGTTTTGCAAGTGTGTGCAGTGTTTTTCAGACTCAAAATGAAATCTAGTGACTCATGTGGAGAAAACAGGCTGCTTGGTCTGGATGAGTGACAGTATCGGTTTGACTCGTCACGCTGAGCTCTGCCTCTGATATACAGCAGTGAACTTGGTATATTATGTCGATATTAGTCATTATCAGATGGAAAAAGTAAACCACACAGTCAAATGTTTTGGCTGACCTGTAAATATAAAGGCCAAATATATTCAGTGTTTCCTGTCCTTGAAAATGTCACATTAAGTGTGTGTGTGATGTGTGTTTTTTCATGTTGACACGACGTAAAGCTAAGCTGACTTCATTGTAGAATGAGTCAATGATATATATACAGCACATAGCAATACAGTGATTAAATCTGTGCAGTCTTAATAGCGGCATAAAGCAATATTTAATGCTAATGAGATTATAAAGGTCTTTTTGTTGTGTGGTATCATACTATGAAGATGAAAAGGAAGCCAATATGTCACACTATTAAACGCCTCTATTATTTATGTCTTAGATTATCTCCCTGGGGTTTGTGTGTATAATAGTTTATGTTTGAAAATAAAACGGCATTTCTCCGTGCATGTGTGTGCGTGAATATATGCATGAGTATGTGAGTCACGCACCACTATCCGGCCCCCTGGGCTTCGGATTCTGATGCCCATCTTTCAGCTCCTCTACTGCACACTGAACCCAGTGAACCTTCTGCTGTTTACACTCTCCCCCTCCTCCTGCTCGCTCTGTCTCTATTTATCTCTCTCACACACTCTCATGCTCATCTATTCTCCCTCCGTCTCTCTCTTACTTTCTCCCTCCAGCTCCCTACAGTACATCTCTCGTTCTCACGCACTCACGCTCTCTTGTGTTCTTCATCTTTTCTCTCGCAGCCCGTCCTCCGCCTGCCTCTCTTTGTAAATGCGCCTGCTGTGTATCTACCTCTGCAGATCAAGACTTATTCAGACTCAGACAGTCTCTAACTCTATAAGCTTCTGTCAGACACTCAGGGTCTCTCTGTGTTAGGGCTGTCTCTTTCAGTGTATAGATGTGTGGCCGGTGAAAGAGGCAGACAGATAGAGACAAGGTGAGAGGGAGGAGAGAAAAGAGACGAGCAAAGGATATAAAAGATGTTGTGCTTGAGATGAAAGTGAAGATGGAAAAAGTCCTAATCGGTGCATTGCCATAAAAAAACATCTCTCCAAACACTCTCCTTCCTTCAAGTTGCAAAAGTCATGCATCTGTCATGTGGCCGGCCCTCTGCTACATACACCACCAAGTCCCTTCTGTCTGTTGCAATTTTCTCCAACAGCAGACTGCAAACAATGTGGCTCTCTTGTGGGCATGTCTGTGTCAGCAAATCTCAATTTTTTCCTGAATGAGGATGTGTGTGTGTGTGCGTTTTGGGCTTCTAGGATAGTAAAGGGGGGAAGGTATAGGGAGGAGTTAAAAGAGGAGGGGGTACGCCACTCTTTTGAGCTCTTCCAGGAAGTGTGAAACAGCGATTTTGAGTCACTGGTTGACGTAAGTTTACCCCCTCCCCCTAAATACACAAAAAAAAAACAGTATGTCATCTTTGGTCCCAGAGCACCAAACTGCTTTGCTTGCACTTCTCTGGTGCATTGTGGAAGTGAAACATGCTATTAATAATCCCGGTCAAGTGTGAGTTGAGTGTGAGCGAGCGAGTGTGCGTGTTGGACTCAACCTGAAAGTCCATTGAACTGTGTAGAGGAGGTAATGTTCATCACATGGCATGCACCTTAGAAGAACCTACCTCGCTGCAGCAGCAGAGAGCACTTTATGCGTGCGGCTTTCGCATGTATATTAGAAAGTGTGCAAGTAAGGTACAGTATGTAACCTGTGCACCCATGTGTGCGCGTGAAGATGCTCACAGGGTGTGAGATTGCTATAATGGGAATTATTCACCCCCCATAGGTCACACAAGTTTCATTTCTCGTGTGTTTCACCACCTCACAAGCTTCAATCATGTATTAAAACAACATGCTTGTCATTTTCGAGCGTGCCTGTTGCACGGTCATAAGTGATGTCCTTTTCTCGTTCTTTATCGATGAGTTCGGTTCAGTTCTTTTTCACGCTATCATGCCTTTTCTCCCGGAGGCAGAGCAGGGTTTTCTTGGTGGTGTTTCTTCCCTCTGTGGCACACACCGGGAACCCTGGGCCTGGTCACGGAGAGCATAGATACACTGTAAACGGCTAATCGGGTATCAAACCAGCGAAGAAGAAAAAGCGCCTCCACTCCGTGTCTCATTCATTATTCACAGCTAGCAAATGAAGTTGGTACAGTGGGAGCAATCAATTATAGATGAGAGAAGGTAGGAGGGAAAGGGAGAGAGATAGAGATAGAGAGAGAGATGAAGGGGATTGAGAGAGGCCTACCTTGCATGCAGCAGAGCTTTAGCATGTCAATTAACATAACTGTAGCATTCGACAACCTGCATGCACAGAGCTGCTCAGGTAATGGACTCCATAGGCAAGAGGTTCTGCATCCACAGCCTCAGAGAGAAATCTTAAGGGTGAATGCACCTTTCACTCAACACCGATAGCATTTATTTGATAATGACTCAGTATGCTAACTTAGTAGTTCCTCGTTTCGCTTGTGTGTGTGTACTTTCTATGGCTCGCTGCTCTGTCACAGTCATAGTGAAACTGTTTTTGGTCTTTTCAAAAATGCCGAGCGACACAGAGCCTCCCCTCAGAAGGAGTAGGTTACAGCTTGCTCTGAAAACAGGATACAAATTTGGTTCAGATGCAGATTTGTAGAATTAAAACACTCGGGGGCCTGATTTGAAAAGGACTGCACGGCTTTTGTACCTGTGAAAACGGGCCACAGAGAAACCATCTAGTTATTAAAGGGTCAAATGCACCACGATCTGCTCTCTGAACAGGTATGTAAAGGCATAAAAATACCACGATATGCTAATATCACAGCAACAAGGCCACAGTATGCTTTCAATTGCACTATTTGCACCCCATGGTGAGTGAGATGGAGCCTACTCTCCTTGCTTGAGACTCTGTGTAACTGTGTCCCTGAGTAAAGGCTGGTGAAAGTGTTTGACTCGAGTTTGCAAATGAAAGAGATTAAATTTTTGGCCCTGTGTTTGCTAAAAAATTTTTTAATCCATCGCCTACGACCACAGTAATGTCTCAGGTCTTTGGCTGTCTATTCAGAGGTACATATGTGATCCCTTGAACCCCCACAGTGTTATCTTGCAGAGCCTTTTTCTCACATCTTATTGAATCATCAGGGTGACAGTGGCTTCTCATATTTTCCATGTTTCCCAACATGTATGTCACCACAGTCTGGCAGTGTCTGTATACCAGTTCTTCCTGTTTGTGCATCACGTTTTTATCATCTCGGGCACAGGAAAAAGACTTCCAAATGTCAGATTTGAAAGAAAAAAATGTCTTTCTGTTCCTCCTCACTGGTGTCCAGAGGTAGTGAGCAGAGTGTAAATGGTGTTATGAAGTATTGGTATTAGTTTGGAGCACATTTCACCCTTTCTATGCTTGTCTGTTATTCATCTGCTTCAGAGTAAAACAATACGGCAAGGACTCCCTCTGTCTGTGCAGGTCTGAGAGCACAGCATGGAGACACCATTAAACTCTAAACAGGGGGCAAACTGCATGGAGTTGTTGAACTCTGTGGGCATTTTTTGCACTTGGATATCATTAGTGCTGTTTTCTCTGTGAGTAGACCTCAAGACAGACAATTGATGTGCAGTTCTGGGCGCAATTAGCTGCAGCAATCCACGCGTCAAGAAATCTCCCCACAGTGTTTTTGATGTGCTCTGAGTTTGAGTCACACAGGCCTTTTTCCTCTCCGTTTTACTCCACATAGCTGTAATTCATGGCCCACATTACTAATTATGAAGGTTATTTTTTTTCTTAGATACTTTGGTTCTTATTTCAGAGTTTAAAAATAACACAAACATGAAAACAAATACAGCTTTGTAAACTGCATTTGTGTAACTGAATACACCCTCTTCCGTTTCCTCTGATTTAACCTTTGTTCTTGTTGATACAGAGGAAATTAGGCAAGTAAAATCAGTTTCAGACTTTTAATCCAGTGTTAAACCACATTTTGGCTCTTTTTGGTTTTATTTATCAACCTTTTATGTTGCAAAGTGTTCCCAGTTTTGATCTGCTCTTGAACGGCATTTCATTATCTCACATCGTTAAACACTAATATGTTATTTTTACATTCATTACTTGAACCGTACCACCAAGGGTCAAGTAGCAGATTCGGTCTCAGATTTTTGGGGGCTTTCCTTGGCAATCAAGCAGCTTTTTTTTTTTTAACTGAAGTTTGATGTTCATCTTCTTTTGCAGTGAGCCACAGAGACAGTTTCACAACTCCAACCTGTGGCACTTGTGCACCCTTCAGTATTCAGAGCGGGACTGTCCCTTACATACTCGACAAAACATGCACATTTAAAAGAAAACACACTTCTGAAAACTGGCATTTGTTGTGAGGTTTTTGCATTGTTATTTTGTCTGCGAATCCAACAGCTGTCTGCAGCGGCTTTCAATGAGAGTCAATTCTTGTGATTGTGTTGCCCAGCCGCGAAGTTGTGAAATATTTGTATCAATCTCCTCATCACCTCGCACATTAAATGTCAGATATTGCCACCTAACTGCTCTATTTGTGCTGTTAGTATTTGGAGTTTGTGTGCAAGCGTGTGTGTTCCTTTACTGTGTGTATGTGTATGTGTTTGTGTGTGTGTGTGTGTGTGTGTGTGGGCAGAGAGGCTGTTTGATGTGAGTCAGATCCAAACCCAGGCTGGTTTCTCGCACATGTGTGTGGGACGCATCCAGATGGCTCCGCAGGGCTGCACAAATGTCACTCTGATAATGAGACAACAGGGCCTGTTGTAGCACAGGTAGCAGGGCTGCAGTGCATGCTTTTACACACAGACAATCCAAACAGGTGCTCACCTGTGGAAAAAAAAAAGATGGGGAGGAAGAGAAAAAAGAAAAGGGGGAGCAGATCAACCCACTGAAACATCTAAAAGCGACAGAGAAGTTATGAAGTGTAATAAATCTTTTGTTTTAAATGGATAAATTAGCGGAAGAAACCTTATCTTGGTTGCTACTTATCCGTGACCTGCAAGGAGTGATGACTGCAATTATATCCATCCCCTGACCTGAACTAAATAGCAACCTCACCTCATCCCCTCTCCAGTCCTGAAGGGTCATCCCAGGTCGCTGCACAGTTTCCATGGGAACACGAGACATGGAGGAAAATTCTCCTGAGCACCAAACAGTGACACCTTATGCCGTCTCAGACAGACTCGTTTGAGTTGCACATAGAAGTGTGAAAGCAGGAGTGCGAAGTTGTTGTTTATTTAATTTTCTTACGAGTCACAAGAGTGGCCTGTCAACCCCACTCGTTTTCACACTCTCTCTTTCTCTCCTGCATGAAAAACCCATTTTCACGCTCACCCTTGTGGACATTTGCTCACACATATTTTCTTTGTCTGCATCCCTCTACTCAGTTTCTCTCTCACACAATATATTCCTGTTATTATGAGCAGCAATGCACAGGTGCAACCCTCCTGTGTGTGCGTGTGTGAGTGAGTGTGTGTGTGTTATTCCAGCTCTCAGACTGCTGTGACCTCATGTAACTATTGCTCCTACATTGTCAACCCTCCAACTGCTCAGTCATCTTTATGAGGTTACTGCACCTGTTTGTCTAACACGCACACAAACGCGCTTTTAAATATACACACTTATATATCAACACACGGTGGCAGACACTAATCCACTGACACTATTACGAGCCGAGGCCCGGGCCATGTTTCTGTGTTTGTGTGTGTGTTTAGTGTGTGAGGTGGGTGGCATTTGCTGTTGTATCAAACACTGTCCACTGCTGGCAGCAAATTTCCTCCGAGGTGATCTGTTATAGTGACAGGGAAGCAAGTATTTTTAGCCGGAGAGAAAGGACAAATAATGAGGCAGAAAAAGACAGAAAGAGACAACGAGGGGACAGAGGAGGGAGAGAGGAGGGAGAGAGGAAGGGAGAGAGGGAAATCAGAGGGTAAACTAAAACCACCTGGATGTTGCTGACTTGCTGCTCTTCTGTTTAGAGCACAGTCTATAAACATCACATTACACACACACACACACACACACACACACACACACACACACACACACACAAATACCTCAGTGTCATGCACACACTCATCTGTCTAAGTAGAGATGATGAGTAAAATGCTACCTTGATTTTGACTGTACAAATGCTGGTTTATCATCTTGTGACAATCTGGTTTGTCATGTACTTTGAATGATTATATCTAAACAAGGCAAATGAGCCAGACAGATTAATTATGCTTGTCTACTGTGACTTTTTTAAGCACTAAATTAGCTGACTGTTAAAAAAAAATTATCTTAATTCATTATTTCTTAACTTAAAGCAAAAAAATGAGGTAATAGGCTCCATGTTTTTCTAGTTTTCTAGTTAGAGTTTTTCTTTTTTTTTTTTTAAATCACTATCTTTAATTAAAACAGGGGCAGATCCAGGGGTGGCCAGCAGGGTGGTCATGGCCCATGTTAAAATCAGCTAATCAAGCTGTGTTGCAATGAACTTTAATACTTAAACGTGTAACTTTTAGGGGTTAATCCTTTTGAGTCTTTAAGGATTTAACTTTTTGGTTAGTGTCATCTTTGGCGCCCCCTGTGGACACCTCAGTCTGTGATAATTTTGTCT